TCTTGTAGTAACATTCCCTGTATTTACTGTTATTTCTTGTAGTAACATTCCCTGTATTTACTGTTATTTCTTGTAGTAGCATTCCCTGTATTTACTGTTCTATCTTGTAGTAACATTCCCTGTATTTATTGATGTATCGTGTAGAAACACTCCCTGTATTTACTGTTTTTTCTTGTAGTAACATTCCCTGTATTTACTGTTATTTCTTTTATTAACATTCCCTGTATTTACTGTTCTATCTTGTAATAGCATTCCCTGTATTTACTGTTATTTCTTGTAGTAACATTCCCTGTATTTACTGATGTATCTTGTAGAAACATTCCCTGTATTTACTGTTCTATCTTGTAGTAACATTCCTTGTATTTATTGTTATTTCTTGTAGTAACATTCCCTGTATTTACTGATGTATCGTGTAGTAACATTCCCTGTATTTACTGTTTTATCTTGTAGAAACACTCCCAGTATTTACTGTAATATTATGAAGAAACATTCCCTGTATTTATTGTTATTTCTTGTAGTAACATTCCCTGTATTTACTGAACATTCCCTGTATTTACTGATGTATCGTGTAGAAACACTCCCTGTATTTACTGTTTTTTCTTGTAGTAACATTCCCTGTATTTACTGATGTATCTTGTAGAAACATTCCCTGTATTTACTGTTCTATCTTGTAGTAACATTCTTTGTATTTACTGTTATTTCGTGTAGTAACATTCCCTGTATTTACTGTTATTTCTTATAGTAACATTCCCTGTATTTACTGTTATTTCTTGTAGAAACACTCCCTGTATTTACTGTTATATCTTGTAGAAACACTCCCTGTATTTACTGTTATATCTTGTAGAAACACTCCCTGTATTTACTGTTATATCTTGTAGAAACACTCCCTGTATTTACTGTTATATCTTGTAGAAACATTCCCTGTATTTACTGATGTATCTTGTAGAAACACTCCCTGTATTTAATGAGAAACACTCCCTCTCACCCTTTGCTCTTTCTCATCCTTTCAACCAAGAACTCAGTCTGACATCCCCTGGTTAAAGCAAAACTACCAAAACTTTGTAATTAAATCCTGACAAAGTTATCATATCTAGATCTGAAAAGAGTCTCCATGAATAAAAGATGCAATAAAAGTACATTTTCTCGTATTTTATCAAATACATTTTTATTTAATTTTTCTTTATTTTAATTGAACATTTTATATTTTTTCAGCAACGCTATAGAAATAAACTGGGACTCGTGGAATTCTGTAGAAATAAACTGGGACTCGTGGAATTCTGTAGAAATAAACTGGGACTCGTGGAATTCTGTAGAAATAAACTGGGACTCCTGGATTTCTGTAGAAATAAACTGGGACTCGTGGATTTCTGTAGAAATAAACTGGGAATCGTGGAATTCTGTAGAAATAAACTGGGACTCGTGGATTTCTGCAGAAATAAACTTGGACACGAGGATTTATGCAGAAATAAACTTGGACTCAAGTATTTCTGTAGCAATAAAGTGGGACTTATAAGGATTTCTGCAACAATGAACTCGAACTCGTGGATTTCTGTAAAAATAAACTGGGACTCGTGAATTTCTGTAAAAATAAACTGGGAATCCTGGATTTCTGAATAAATAAACTGGGATTCGAGGATTTCTACTTCAATAAACTACATCTGGTGGATTTCTGCAACAATGAACTCGGACTCGATCATGGATTTCTCCCACAATCAATTGAAAGAAAAGAATGTAGATATCTCTTCTAAAATTAACATATAAAGGGCATTTTTCTGAGTAATTTGATATCAATCTTTATTAATTGATCGTATAAAACGATATTGACATTTAGACTGTAATAATAAACCCAGAAATTGCTCAATCTAATAAAATGTATAATTGAACCTAAGAAGATTTAAAGTAAAAATGTTATATTCTTCCACCTAATTCTTTGTAAATTGATTTAAAGCAATATTTCAAATGCAAGGACAGATGAGATTGAGGTCAGTGAGGGGGTTTAAAATTAAAAATTACAAAATTTTTTTTACACAATTACGCTTACAGTCCCTTTAAGCCGCCAAAAATGAGATGGGCGTGTTCATATTTTTTAGTCGTTAACGCGTTCCTCGTTCTAGAACGAGGGCCTATTGATAAATCTTTCGTTCCTCGTTCGAACATTTTCCGTTCTGTTCTGAGATATTTTGATATTTTAAACTGTAAATTTTGTTAGATCTGTAAAGTTAGATAGGAATTAGAACATTTGAGTTTGTGGTAAAGACTCGATTCCTTCAGATTTAGAACTAGTTCCTGACTTTTAACGTTTACGACTGCTGACTATTCTTTCCAACCAATTACCCTTCTTTCCACGTTCGTTATTTTAAAGAACGCTTTTTATGTGTGTTTTTTTTCGTACGAAGGCATCGTTCTTGATAATAACGTTTGTTCCAGTAAACGATCGTTTCCCAGGAACGACATCAAGCCCTACAAAAACTAAAGAAAAGAATCCCAGTTGTCATATACTAAAACAAAGAATGTTTTGCATAAAAAAAAACATATCCCCCCCCCATCCCTTGCTCCTCATCAATCCTTCATCATCTACTATTTTCTCTCCTCCCAACTCATGTTAGTAAATAATGGAGAATATCTATATTAACTTCCGGTCTGAATATAGGATATACACTTCCGGATTGTAGAAAACAGTAATATTATATGATTAATATTTCTTCTATCATCTTCTTTTTCTATTATTTTGAATTCTAAATTGATGGTGTAAACATTTGATATTTCAAACTAAGACTATATGATCTGACAGAATTCATATTTTGAAATATCAAAGGTAACTTCTACAGTATCTTCCGATGCACAAAAAAACTAAGTTTCAGTTAACACCCCTCTCTAAGTGAGTAAGTTGAGTGGGATTGGGAAACTAAGTGCATGAAGTATACAATGTTCATTGTACAGCGCTCAATGAAAAAAATTGGAAAAATGTCTTTCCGGCATCGAGAAAAATATATTTCTTAACAGAATAAATTGTTTTTGGCAAATAAACCCACAGGTTCAGAACGATAATATTATTTTTTAAAGTTTTATATTAAGAGGAGAAATAATTGAAAATATTTAATATTTAAATCTAAATTGGAACTTTATTGTGACTTTCTTTCACAACTTCTCAATTTGAAGAATAAAGATTTGCTGCTTTTTAATTTCTCAAAAGCATGTATGATAAGCTTTTTATCTTAAGGGAAAAATAGGTTCGAAAAGCACTTATTTTAGTACTAAAAGGGTGACCCACCTAAAAATGACAAGGAAAAGGCTAAAAAACCAAGTCAAATTAATTAATATCGTTTCTTTATGAACGAAAGTTGAATTTAGACAAAATATCATTGACAATCGGAATTCCGTTGCGCGGAATTGCGCACAATAGTTGCTTCCGCTTGCGCCATTTCATTGCGCTATAATTTCGAAAAAGGAACGAATTAAATATTCGCGGAATTGCACGAAATTGCGTGCAACGGAATTGTTTTTCCATCTAAAGATCAATATTTTTAACTGTTCGACTTACAAAATTTATGCAGCAGATACAAGAATGGAAATATCTCTGTAGATTTTAAAATAATCGAGGACCAAGTTTCACAATTGTTTCAGCAGATTTCAAATTTTTAAAATTGTAAGGTTTGTTTAATCAAAATTAGATATTTTGCTACAGTGCGAACCAGAAAACTATGGAACAGAAGGACAACATCACAGTTTATTTAATGTCGTTACAAATTAACAAACCAGCAATTAGCAATTAGTATCTTATTAAATCACTGATTCAGTTACATTGGTCTGCTTGAGTCTAAAATGTCGTCTTCCTATGCCAGAGTTTTCTGGTTATCATGCTGCAAATGAATATTATAAACCAAAAGATTAAGCTTAAATTTAATTTTTTTAGCATTTGAGACTGAAATGTTAGTGCAGTTTAGTTTAGTGTATGGCAATGCATACCAAAGTTTAAATTGATTTTTTTGTTGTTGAAAGGAATTGTGCAATAATTAATTGCATTTATTGCGTGCCATAAGGTTTAAATTGAATAATATCAAAAAGTTGAAACACAAACGCAAGAAAGTTGGACGGAATTGTGCGGATGTAAAATCCACTTGCGTTGGAAACACTAATTGCCATATGTTCCTGCTTCATTAAACTAATTTTTAGGACAGGTTATGAGGTCTTAAAAAGCACTCTTTATTTTGGATATCTCTTTTGATAATCTTTCAATATTTTCGTTTTTTATTTCTAATAAACCTTTATTTTACATTTTTGAACTGTTTTAAGTAATCATAAGCCATTCCAGCTCTGCCTGGGCAGCAACAGTTTTAAAAGATCTTTTTCAATTTCTTCTTTTATCGTTTTCTTTCTCTTTTCTTGGTTCCGCTGGCATTTTTTACTCATTCTATTGCCTAAAAGATGTGATAGAATCATGAATTGATTAAATCGTATCACCTTTGCTTAAAGTAATTTGTTTACACAATTTATGGCTGTTTTAACAAATAAAACAATTTAATCCATTAATTGAGTTAAAAAGATCCCTGCTACTGGCAGCGAGATGTTCATGAAGTACAATATTCAAACTGGCTTCAAATCAGAGATTATATTTCATCAAGGAATGTTTCAATCTCTTCCCTGTGCCAAGGTACTAATGCAAGGAAAGTTATTTCAAAGGTGTACGCATCTTTTGTACTGCAGTGTACTGTCTCTGGGCGGTGATGTAAACACAAGACGGATGTCGAAGCCTGACAAGGGATCCATCCTTCACATAAAAAATCAATAAAATATTCTATTATGTGAATTATCAAAATTTAATGCTTTTAACCTCCTCGGATACTAAACGAACACTGATGCACCTATTCGTCTTTATAAATTCCGCCCAGAGAGAACTGGTTTCAATATGTACGCAGAGTATTCGCGACCGCAATTAACTTTCCTTGCATTAGTACCTTGCCCTGTGGTGCCATGTACTAAAATATTTTTCAGATTTTTATCTTCTTTTTGTTTTTAATTTTCCGAGGTTTAACAACCAGAGAACCGGATTTTTTATACACAATTTAGACTAGTGAATATCAAAAATCTATATAATAAACAGGACATTCATGTATATATATGTTGCCAAACGGCTGGGTCAATTCGGCTGAAATTTTTAGTAGACACTCATGGGTGGCCAGGGGTATTATAGGCAAAAATAAATTAGAATTTTTTTCTTCCAAAGTTTTAAATTTTTTTAATTATTTTTTTTTAACATTTTTAAAAAAAATTTTGTCCACGGGCAACGCCGGGCCCTTCAGCTAGTATATATTAAATTCAAAACCATTTAGTTCTTAAATTCTTGTTTTGATTGACATTTAGAATGCATTTGTTACATTAAGAATAATCTGAGTGCCATTTGATGATATATCTACTGAAGGGTTTATAGTTTCAGCATTCATTCCAGTCATACCTTTTCCTTTGGTTCCTTGATTATAGCCTTCACCTAATTCACTTCTTTGTTTAGTTGGATCTGTTGCATTTTCTGATTTTGCTGAATTTGAATTTTCTGTTTCAGATTCATATTTAACTGTATGATTTTCAATGATCACTTCGGGTTGATCAATTACTTCAGATGGTAAAGCTATATAGTCTTGCCCTAGTACATTTTGTTGTTTCAATGGGTCAATTGCATTTTCTAAATTTGCTGAATTTGTTTCAGATCCATTGTTAACTATAAGACTTTGAATGATCGCTTCTGGCTGATCAATTACTTCCGCTGGTGAAGTTGTCCCGTTAAAATTTTCAATCTCAATTGTAACAACTTCATCTTCTTTATCTCCATCTTCTGAAGATTCTTTTTCTTTTTTAGTTTTGCATGATCCCCAGCCATCTTTTTTATTCTCACATGTACAGCTCCCTTTCTCACAGTTAGGCACAGACTTACAATCCTGCAGACAAAAAAATTTATCAAATAATTGGTGATCATATCAGATTCTTTCAAGAAGAAAAATCAAAATATCCAATTAGAGTTTCATATGTGCCCTTCCCCAAACCAGAGAAAGGACTTACAAAATTATCTCTGCAATTATTTGCTGGGTATTTGGTGGACCAGGAAGGTTTTTTACAAATTTTAGAAGAACATTCACAGGGCTCATCAGAGGAACATTTTCCTGAAAAAAAAATGCTAGTAGAATTTTATTAACCCTCAAAATGAATTTAGAAAGGGGGAAGGGGTTTTCAACTCAGTAATATAAAAAGAAATATTGTATACAAGCTGAAGAGCCCGGCGTTGCCCGTGAAAAAAAAAATTTTTAATTTGTTGAAAAAAATATTAAAATTTTTTTATATATATTTTTTAAAAAATTTCGAATTTGTTTAGCCTATAACACCCATGAGTCTCAACAAACAAATTTAACCCAATCGGTTCAGCCGGCTATAGACAACATATATATACAAATGTCTTGTTTTATTATATATATCATATTATAATTCAATTAATTTAAGCTTATTTTAAGCTGTTTAGGTGGCTTTTTGTGAGATTTATGTTTTGACCTTTTTCGCTACAATCCTTGATGTTTGAACATTCTTCAGCAATTTTCTCATCAACGCAAATATTCTTCTCACACCTGGTACATAAAAATATTCTTCTCACACCTGGTACATAAAAATATTCTTCTCACACCTGGTACATAAAAATATTCTTCTCACACCTGGTACATAAAAATATTCTTCTCACACCTGGTACATAAAAATATTCTTCTCACACCTGGTACATAAAAATATTCTTCTCACACCTGGTACATAAAAATATTCTTCTCACACCTGGTACATAAAAATATTCTTCTCACACCTGGTACATAAAAATATTCTTCTCACACCTGGTACATAAAAATATTCTTCTCACACCTGGTACATAAAAATATTCTTCTCACACCTGGTACATAAAANTTTTAAATAAGATTCTTCTAAAGATCTGTAAAGATCTTGTTTTACATTAGATTCTTCTAAAGATCTGTAAAGATGTTGTTTTAAATAAGATTCTTCTTAAGATCTGTAAAAATGTTGTTTTACATAAGATTCTTAGATCTGCAAAGATGTTGTTTTACATAAGATTCTTCTTCTGAAGATTGTTCAAGGTGTTGTTTAACAGAAGATTCTTAAGAATATTTTTAGGTGGTCTTTTAAATATTCCTTAAAATGGGTTTTTTGAAAATTTTATAAACAATCTTTTTCAACTCTAATAATCTTGTTTACTGGGGATTTTCAGAAAATAGTTTAGTGTTGTTTGTGGGTTTGTCAGGAGATCTTTGAAGATGTTGTTAAAAATATCATTCTTCAGAGAATCTTAACATATGGCATTTGAGTGATAATACTTTTTCATATGGGATGAGTGATTAAGACGCCATTTTGATAAATGTTATGGTTGCATGGCCGGATTCACTCCATATGTTTATGTACATTGGAAAGTACATTTTCATACTCTTTACAGGAGGATGCATGTACACTACACAGTGCAGTAACACAGAGAAGAAATTGAATACTGCAAGCTATTCCGAATTTTAATTCGCAGATTTGTGTGTACTGATCAAAATGATAGCAGCTAAATCTTAAATGGTATGTAATAAATATAGTAATAACCCCGATATATTGGAAACCTGAACCTACCTGTATATAACCCTGATAAACATGTCTTGTATATATAACTATGTTTTTTAATCTTTGAACAGACCTATCGGTCAATTACATTTTTACCTGTATCATTAAACCTAAAATATAGTTAGTTGAATAGAACTCTGTTTGATTACGGTCAGAGCTAGTTCTCTGTAGAGAGTATAGAGAGAATTGTATCTGGATTGATACATACTTAATAATACTGAGAAAGTTGTATCTGGATTGATACATACTTAAGACTACAGAGAGAGTTGTATCTGGATTGATACAAACTTAAGAATACAGAGAGAGTTGTATCTGGATTGATACAAACTTAAGAATACAGAGAGAGTTGTATCTGGATTGATACAAACTTAAAGAACTATTGGAGTAAGGCATTTGTTTCAGGTACAATAATTTCTATGGCAGATATACAGGAGCGGGCACAACTTAATGTTCTGAAGCCAGAACTTTTGTGCTGTGAATATGAGGATCAAGCATTGATCGCCATCTTATATCGCTAGTAATTAATTTAATTCTTTTTATTGATACCCCCGGTGTTATTAATGCCCAGTGATAACTTAATTGAAGGGACAAAGCTTTGATCTTCACATTTAATTGTGCCCACATTGGATACTAATATCAAGATTAAGGAACTGGTTTAACGCTTCCTCTGTGTTAGTCTGATATAATCAACCTACCTACTTGCATTTAAACTCAGGTCTATAAACATTCTTGCAGAAGTATCCGCCCTTCTCACAATCCTCAGCAGTCTCACACTGGTATTCGCAAAGGTTACCTACAAATCTAACAAAATATTAAAAAATTGAAAAATGTTTTAAACAATTGATTTTTAACCTGAACATGTGCAGAGTTTATTGGAACATTTTTCATAGTTTGAACATTCTTCAGATGTTCTACACTCAAACTTATCCTGGAATGGGGGAATAGGTGTTCTCATGCACATAAATATTATTCATGCATTAATGACTTTTGTAAAGTTAGTAGTATATTATGTTGGCTTTTAATGGAAGGTCTGTAATAAATAGAGTAACAACCTCATTATCTTTGAAACCTGAACCTCATGTATATATTTCGTTATAGGCACTTCAAAAATTCTGAGAAATTTTTAAAATGAAAATAAAAAAAATGTTTTAAAGGTTTGCTTTTATTTAACTATACAAAATGTCAAAGACCCTGGCAGAATATATACCCTTAAAAAGTTTAAAAACTGTTCAATAATGATCAACTTGTTTTTATGTATCCCTAAAATAATAGATTTTACCTTAATGGATTTACAAATGTATGAAGACGATAATTATCGTAAAATAGTTTCTTGTTAAATCCGTTCTAACAATCTTGTAAACTTTATATAACGTCGATACATAAATAAATATCTAGATCTTAAAAAGAAGGTTTTTATACACTACCACTACTATATATCTTTGTCATGAAACTTGAAAAAAGCCACATCATCAAAGAAAACTAAAAACCCTTATTTTTGAAAAATTAATTTAAAAAGACTACCCAATTTACTCACAGGAAGCTTCAGTAAACATTCAACATAAATTGTAAAATAAAATATTTTACCTTTGGATCGGAAAAACACTTTCCAAATTGACAGAAGCAGGTTTCTGGGGTTTGGGTACTGTTAAATAGGTATTTAAAGGGATCGTTCACTTAAGTGGGTAATATAATGGTAAACTAATTTAGACTATTAGCTATATCTATGACTAGAGAAAAAGTCGATTTATTGCTTAGAATTCTGGTATGATACTATTTAAAGCCTTTTTCAGTAACAACAGCCCAATAAAATCTAAAATTATCATATTACAACGGCATCATGTGTCAGCCATTATACATAATAAAATAAAAACATTTGATTTTAGAATTAGCAAGAAATCAACGTCTTTTGTGTTTAAATATGATTTACCAAATTAACAAGTTTTATCTCAGACAAACCGAATCCTAGATTTTTTTAGAATTGACAATCTTAAAATAATTTTGATAAAAAATAAAGACTATTAGATACTGCAATTTAATTTAATATTTGAAAATTTTAAAAAATCCATCATTTTGACAAAAAGCATCAATTAGTGTAAATGCAAAGGTATCATATACCTTTGCGCTGGAATTCTGAATGAAAAATCGGCTTTTTCTCAGGCCACAGATTAGATTAATACCAATGAATAGCTAATAGCCTATTTAGTTTACCCTCGAATTATACCCAAGTAAGTGAACGGTCCCTTTATTAGAATTATATTACATAAAAATCAAAAGTAAGATATGAAATTTTTTTAATTAGTCAATCAAAGTTAAAAGGTTTTCACTATTATGAGCATGAGTATCATTAAAGGTTCTTAGACTGCATTTATACAACAGTTTGCATTTAAAAATTATTAATAAAACATCCTGTGTTTCTGTTTCCGCCGAAATTTTGATATTTTTTCCGGGACGGAAAATTACCGGAATTCCGTTTTCCGGCTCATCTTTTCCGGTAATTAAAATTTCCGCCAAGAAAAATTCTGGTGGAAAATTTGATACTCTAGGTCAAGCTTGCTGATCGAACACAAAACATTTGAAAGAATTACTCCTTGATTTTAAGCATCGTGAAAGGGATAAACCAGTTCCTACTTAGTAAGTTTAACTGAGCTGAAAACTTTAGAATGAGATATCCTTAATCACGATCGCTTAATCTGATTATCCAATGCACACTTTTGATTTTATTCTTAGAATCCTCTTTTATTTCTACTGTTTAAATGTTACGTTTGATAGCAATTACAGATACAATGCTATATCGATTGAACTAATATCCGATTGAATTTCAAGCATTTAAACAAATAAAAATTTATTAATGTTAATGTGAAATTACTAAAACATATTTTAGGACTATTGTAATTTCTAACGTTAGTCTTAATAAATATTAATCCAAAACTTACGTTCGTTCAATCAATGTTTAGTTCAATTGATATGACACCATCAACACCAGAAATCATAACAGAGAGCTGGGAACTTTAGAATGGATAAACTTTATTCCTGACTTCTTGATCCGAATATCCACTGTGGAAACTTTTCATTTTAGTCCTAATCCACTCTTTTTCTATCTCCTTGGATATCCGTGTTTTCTCCAATGAGAATATTTCTGTTCTCTCATTGGTTGCCTGCTTTTCTCTGATTGGCTGCTACAGTTTCTCAGATGATTAAATATTAATTTGAATTTTATCGTTTTTCATACACTTTTAAGATAATCTTGCAAGATTATGTTAATCTCGAGATCAAGAAAAAGAGTGGACTAAGCCTTAATCCCGATATCCACCATTCAAAAGTTCCCGGCTCCAGTTTTTCAACGGTTAAAGAGTATATCTTAACATGTTACGCTGCTTGATTAAATTTTTAACTTCTTTATTGGATATCGAATGCGCGTTTTAAAATAATCTTGGGTTTAGTTAAAACCTGGAGTTTAAGCAAATTAATCTTGATATCCACCATTCTAAAGTTTTCAGCTCTGATTTGCAACCATTAAAAAAGCACTAGGCCTATCTGTACAACCTGCAAGGACAATCTATAACATCTTTACACTCTGTTCCATCAATTTGAGGAATCTTGAAGCAGGTTCCAAACTTGCAAAGGCTGCAGGGTTTCGATAGAGATAAGCTTCCCGGAAGCTAAATAGTTCACATTAGTATTACACAGTCCACTTTATAAGTATTAAAATATAAGGAAATCATGATCACGAATTCTACAGCCTCTGATTATTCTTTATTTTCTTTACTCACTTATTTTCTTTACTCACTTATTAGTTTATGGCTTAACAAACCTAATTGATTTATTACTGCTGATGAATACAGAGAAACGGAGATTAGTGAAAAATTACATCATTGCTTTTTTATTAAAAAATTGAAAAAGTAAAAATGATAAAAAATTTAAGTTTGAATTAACGCAATACATTGCCTGTAAATGATCAGTTGTATTTAAACAATTCTCGGCGAAGCAGTCTTTAGAGAAGGTGCACTCCTTGCCAGCGACACGTTCAATCATGATACTGCTTAATAAATAAAAAATCCACATCATTCTGAAAGTAAAATGTAAATTACAGTCATTAACCCCATTTTCCCTGACGTCTGGTTTCATGCCTGGTTCCGTGTGGGAGGGGTTAAAATTTACCCCCCCCCCCTTTATTTCCGACCCGTATTGCGATACAAATCTATAACATTTGATACGTTTTTGGAAACCCTTGAGCTCAATAATCTGCAAAAAATGGCAAATTTACAAAAAAAAAAATATTTATTGCGAAATGTAGTCATTAAGCAAAAATATTCAAGAAAAATGAAAGTCTGCAAATTCTCTTTATAGGCGTCTGTGCAAAAATCTGTGCAAATTTTTTTTGCAAACATTGTGCAATCTGGATGCTTTTGTTATAGGCTTTCCAAAGATATAAAATGTTGAATTCCAATGACTGGAAGTAGGTTTAATTATAGATTTAGTCCAGTATAGGTAAAATAAGGCATTAAGGCAGTATGTCTAAAGACTCAGACAGTAGGTATAAAAGCCCAGCTTTTAGCCATAAGTGATGGGCATGGTGTTAATTGTAAAAGTACGAAAAATTTGAGCTTCCTAGCTCAAATACTTCTTGAGTTATCGCAAAAAAAACTATAGGGGTGGAATCAAATTGCCCCCCCCCCCGGGGTAAATAGGGTTAACATCATGGGAATAAAGGGAAAATAAAAATTTCTGTTGTTAAGCAGTTAAACTTTGATGCTTCAACATTTTATTATTCTCATGTTTATGCATTCTTTTAAATTGTGCAGTCATTCCCATGCATAAAGGTTCTAGCTGTTATCGTTAAATAGATCGACTGCAACTGCATAATGTGATATAAAACCTGGAGCAGCTAGGCACAGTGGCTAGAGATCATCAAATTTCCGTACTACATGGATTGTTTAGAAAACAATGAATAATGAACGAGAAAGGAGAGGAAGAGAGAGCGAAAGAGGGGGGGGGGGGGGGGGGGGATGAGAGAGAACAGAAAGGACAATGAAAGAAAACTACGTGAAAGGAGAAATGAGAAAAGAAGAGAAAGAGGGAGGGGGGGGAGGATGAGAAAGAACTATGAAAGGAGAAAGGAGGAAAAGAAGAGAGGGGGGAAGGGTGAGAAAGAACTATGAAAGGAGAAAGGAGGAAAAAAAGAGAAAGGGGGAGGGGGGGAGGATGAGAAAGAACTATTACAGGAGAAAGAATAAACTGCACATGAAAGAACGGAAAAAGTGAAAGAAGAATAGAAAAGGGATCTACAAGAAAGGAGAAAAAAAGACAAAACTAAGGAGTACAGTAGCAAAATAATAGAATAAGGCAGAAAACTGTACAGGAAAGGAAAGAAAGAGAAAAATAGGGAAAGAAAGGAGGAGAAAAAAAGAAAGGAGACTATAAATGCCAAAAAGATAAAAAATCAAAGGTTAATGCAAGTACGAAAATTTAAGTATTACTAGCTACGGTTCCTAACTGCTAAGCGTACAATATTTGGTGTTTTTGTACGAACTTAGGGATTTTTGTTATAAAGATTTTAGTATCGATGCCATTCTGTCCCCTCAAATAAGGTTGCATTAGTTATTCTGGATTAAGATTTGTTAACTTGACATGTCAAATTAGTAAAATAAACACGAAGTATAGAAATATTTTTGAACGCATTCTGAAATCTGAATTAACTTCTGCATTTTATCAAAATAACTCAGATGTCTGGGTTCTTCTTTCTCAAACATGTGTGACCTAACCCAACATTTATTATCAACTGGGAAAATAGAAAATAGAATTGTTATGATTTGCTATGTACTAATTAATGAATTTACAGCATTCAATTCATATCAATATCATATTTCATTGTTTTCTTTTAACATCAGTCTGGAGTATAATAAAACTTAATCCTGTAACAATAGCAAAATTAAAATCTCCAAAGCTAAACTTTAAGTCTCTAAAAATCCTTGATAGTAAAAGATTCAAAATTGTGTGCATAATGTGGAAAGAGAGACATGAACGTGTTTAGTATTTTTGCATTTCGTTTGTTCATCGTTTGTGAACGACCCATTTAGTATTTTTTTTTCAAACGTTCAAAACAAATTTAATATTTTTATCTTTTACGTTGATATTCTCACTGACCGATCGTTCAGTGAAATTGTTCCTTCAATAAAATTATTCCTTCAGTTAAAAAAAACTCGTTTTTCAAAATATTTTGGAAACTAGTTCATTCAGTTAAAAAAATATCGTTTTTTAAGTTCCTTCGAACCATTTTAAATTGTTCGTTTTTTTAATAATGGTCTATTATGTTCATCCATCGTTCATTTTTTTATCTGAACAAAACCCTTTTTCACGATAAGTTTTGCTCGTTCTTAAAAATGTTGTTAGTTCAAAAAAGCGGTACCAATCTCTCAAGAAATTGGGCTTGCTTTATTTCTAAAATAATAAACTCCAAATACAATGCACAAAATTAGACATAATTTTACTGTTAAGATGATGACAGCTGACCAATAAAAGAAAAACATCTCTGAAGGGATATCTTATAAAGTAACAATGTTCGGATAAACAATTTCCAGACAGGAAATATTTAAGATTGGACCAATTCTTAAGAGAACACAGGAGGCCTTGCACTGTTGATAGGACATGCTAAGGGGTCAGTTGCAATTCATATGGCTGGAATTGTGTTGGTGTAAAAAAAAATTCAGCACTTCGGAAAAAGTTGTCTTGTACACGCCTAGAACAACATCCATAGTTGTCTTGTACACGCCTAGAACAATATCCATAGTTGTCTTGTACACGCCTAGAACAATATCCATAGTTGTCTTGTACACGCCTAGAACAATATCCATAGTTGTCTTGTACACGCCTAGAACAATATCCATATTTCAGGTTTCCACAAAAACAGAAAAGTTTTGCGCTAGTTAAATGCTTGTAATAATTTTTTTTATTGAATATTTGAATTTACTTTAACGGCATGAATCAAAAACTTAATGAAACACAGTATAGAATAGGAGGAATAGATTAAAAACAGTTATAGAATAGAAAGAAGAGATTAAACACAGTTTCAGAATAGAAGGAAGAGATTAAACACAGTTTTAACAGTAGGAAGAGATTAAACAACGTTATAGAATAGGAGGAAGAGATTAAACACAGGTATAGAATAGGAGGAAGAGATTAAACACAGGTATAGAATAGGAGGAAGAGATTAAACACAGTTTTAGAATAGAAGGAAGAGATTTAACACAGTTTTAACAGTAGGAAGAGATTAAACAAAGTTATAGAATAGGAGAAAGAGATTAAACACAGTTATAGAATAGGAGAAAGAGATTAAACACAGATATAGAATTGGAGGAAGAGATTAAGCACAGGTATAGAATTGGAGGAAGAGATTAAGCACAGTTAAAGAATAAGAGGAAAAGATTAAACATAGTTGTAAAATAGGAGGAAGAGATTAAGCACAGTTATAGAATAGGAGGAAGAGATTAAACATAGTTGTAAAATAGGAGGAAGAGATTAAGCACAGGTATAGAATAGGAGGAAGAGATTAAAACACAGGTATAGAATAGGAGGAAGAGATTAAAACACAGGTATAGAATAGAAGGAAAAAATAAAACACAGGTATAGAATAAAAGGAAGAGGTATAGAATAGGAGGAAGAGATTAAACACAGGTATAGAATAGAAGAAAGAGATTAAACACAGTTTGAACAGTAGGAAGAGATTAAACAAAGTTATAGAATAGTAGGAAGAAATAAAACACAGGTATATAATAGAAGGAAGAGGTATAGAATAGAAGGAAGAGATTAAACATGGCATAGAATAGGAGGAAGAGGTTAATAGAATAATCAGATGAGGTTAAACACAGTTATAGAATATGAGGAAAAGATTAAACACGGCATAGAATAGGAGGAAGAGGTTAATAGAATAATCAAAAGAGGTTAAACACAGTTATAGAATATGAGGAAGAGATTAAACACAGGTATAGAATAGGAGGAAGAGGTTAATAGAATAATCAGAAGAGGTTAAACACAGTTAGAGAATATGAGGAAGAGATTAAACACAGTTATAGAATAAAAGGAAGAGATTAAACACAGTTATAGAATAATCAGAAGAGGTTAAACACAGTTATGGAATATGAGGAAGAGATTAAACACAGTTATATAATAGTAGGATGAGATTAAGGTATATTTACGTAAAAATTTGTATGCTCAACTTTTTGGTAAAGAATTTTATATATATTTACATATTTTAGGTATGTATCATACCAAACGATTTTTTTTAAATGCTTAGTATTTTTTCGTTTTTTTCTTTACTAAAAAAATGCATTTTTTTAGAGTTTAAAAGTTTGAGGCAAACTTAAAAATATGTATATTTTCAATTAAATTTCATACCAAATAATTTTTCAACGTTTGGTTTCAATTTTACAAATTTTTACGTAGTTTTCGGTTTTTAGAGTGATAAGTTTGATACAAATTGAATAATACGTATATTTTCGTAAATTTCATACCAAGTAAGTTTTTAGGTTTTTATAAGCGTCAATATTTTCACGAAAATTTAACTGCACAGAAATGTATTTTAAGTTAGAATCTAAAAGTATTTTATGATATTTTTAAAGAGAATTGTTATGTAAGAAATTTAATGCAAACATTTTGGTAAACACAATGTTTCAAAATTTCTATTTGTGGAATCATAGTTGTATAGATATGAAGGAACAATGTGCATGCAAAATCAAAGTTATCTGCTTAACATTTTGGTTTTAGACCTTGATGCCTTAAAAATACGTATTTTTACTAATAGGAAAAACCTATAAATTCCAAAAATTAAGAAATTTTGGGATATTTTCAACATAAATGGAAAACCTTTAAAATTCCTGATTCATTGGATTTTTTAGGTTTTTACATACGCACTTGAGCGTTTGTCATATACGTATTACTATTTTTACGTACATATAATATAACCGGAGATTAACCACTGTTATAGAATAGGAGAAACTAGAAACAGATTAAACAAAGGTATATAGAATAGAATGCAGAGCAGAGATTATTAAACACAGGTAATATGGAGGAAGAGTAGCACAGTTAGATACAGGGTGTCCCACGAAACATGACATTTAACAAATAGCTATTTTTAGTTAAACAAATCTTTTGCTTAATTATATTTTACTTTGAAATCAATTTTGATATAATGACTCCCATATAATATTTTTCTTGATCTTTGGTATAAACAACTTAACAATTATTATGGAAAAAGACATACTAAACTATTCACCAACTGTCATGTTTCGTGGGACACCCTGTATAAACAGGAGAACGATATGATCTCCATGATCCCTTTATTTGATTTTCTGATTTATATATTTCGGAAATTCGGAACAATATAATTTAGTAAAATTGTTAATCTGTTTTTTAAATATATAAATTTTCATTAAACTATAACGTTTAATTATATTTTGGGGTCTGTCCTAGTATACGATTTTTGGACCCCCCCCTGCCCCCCTCCCCCCCTCCTATCAATTTTTTACATGACCATTTATTTTTCAGCAAATTTANATGAAGAGATATATTTTGATATTTGTTTTGTTAAGCCAATAAATTTAAACAAAAAATAAAAACAACAAGCGGAGACCAAAATGCGGGGCGTGGAGACAGAATGGCGGAAGGCTTGGTGACGTCACTGAGGCTGGGAGACCAGTTTTGCGGGGCCTGGAGGTAATTCTGCAAATCCTGAGGTTCGGAGATCATTTTTGCGGGGATCATGGCGCCTCTGCACCCCCTCCCTCGTACGGATAATACCTTTTAGTTCCGATGATATAGCACTTTTTGAATAAAGAACGTTGATTCGAGTCTAAACACATAGTCAATGCTGTATTTTAATTCAGAAACTTACTGCTAGTCTAGAAGTTAATTTTGGATTTTTACAAATCACATATCATTTAGATTTATTTCATTTCAAATATTGGTTTATATTCCAAATTTAAAAAAAAAATATTTTTTTTTATTTTCAATTAAAAGTAAATAAAAAAGATAGTTTTAAAACTATTTTAGAAAACGACGACATTTTATATTATCTGAACTAATTCGAGTCTATAGTAGATAATATTTTGTACAGTTTCGTCATTTCAAAATATTTGACAGCGCGTCCAAAATCAGTTGTTTGGCCTTCACTTTTTTTTCCATGGAAGCTGTGATGGCCTCGTTTTCGAGATAGATGCCTTTAAAAGTCTGTTTTTAAAGAACCTAACGTAGCAAAATTCAAATGGTTGATCACAGTTTAAAAATTTATTAATATTTTGAGTGTTAATGTCCAGCGATTTTAGAAAAATGGCTCTAAATTTTATTGCAAAGGCTCCCGTGTCATTTCTGCGATTCACTCAACCCAGACTTGCAACTTTTGGTCGCTATGCTAAGGTATGTGGTTTTTGATGCTATTTTTGTTATGCAGGGATTATAGAAATCAAATCAGCTTTCTGAAAAGTTGGTGATCAGCAACAAACCTTTGTTTAACGTACGTCCTCTGCTAGCGTAAGCCAAATATTGATGATAAGAAACAAAAATATGAGAGTTTACTCTTGCAAGAAATTTAGACCAAAAATCGTTCTCTAGGAATATACCAGTTTATGGATTGTTATGTTTAAGGTTGAACTGACTCCCCCCTCCCCTGGAGAACTTGGTCAGGTTGTTAAGAGCTCTGCAAAACTAGTTCAGGTTCATATTTAGTTTTTTTGGGGATTTGAAACAAGATATTAGATTAACTTCAGCATCTTGTTCCTCTATTCGATAGAATTTATTTATGGAAACACATGATTTTAAGAGGAAATTTAACCCCTATTTCTCCTTTTTTAATATTTGATTTATTTATAAACAATTGTATGCAATGTATCTTTAACTTTCCATTAGACATTCTCTTCTACATCGCTCTTTAGATGACTTAAATGACTTAGCATCTTTGTCTTTAAATAAAATAAATTTAACATGGTGATGTACATGGGCATTGCCCATGCAATTTGGTCCAGCCTATTGGCGGGCTATGACGAAAAAAATATTTATGAACGTTTTTAATAGATAAAGTATTTTTGTAAATATAAATATACTGTTTAGAGTGCTCTGACTTTTAAATGGGCTTCTGTAACAGTTGGTGAAGCTGCTGTTAACGCTATCATTGTCGCTGAGGTAGGATTCTTCGCCCAACTTCTTGAGGCACCCCCCCTCTCTTATCAAATGTTTTTATAGTGATTTTTAGGGGGGGGGGGGGTCAAGGAAACTTGGGAGAAAGTAAGAGAAAAGATCAAATCTTACTAATTACTTTGCATCTCAACTATTGTTTTACTGGCGAGATCTTAAAGAGTTTATATTTATTATTATTATTAGAGGCAATTAAAAAGTTTAGAATGCTCTTTATAATTTTAAAAGTGCTTGCGATTCTTTTCAAACAGAATTTCTTCTAAAAAAAATGGATTTACAATGTAATGATTAGCTAGGTGTCAATAATATCTCATTGTTTGACACTAAAACTAGGAAGACTGTTTCGAGAGCAAACAGTTTTTTTTATGTTTTAGTTGAAATTTTGTCCCTTGGATCTGCATCTGATGACCTGGCTGTATATTAGTTGATTGATTATTAATCGAGAAATATTTTTAAATATTTTAATTTCAGGTTGCTTGCTGGTTCTTTATCGGGGAATGTATCGGGAAAGGAAGTCTTGTTGGCTACCAAGTTTAAACTATTGTTCAGTTTAGTCGTGTAGATTTATCGTTAAACATTTAAGCTTCAGCTTATATATTTATAAATTCATGCAGTCATTTAATTTACTGGTTTCAGATTGCTAAATAATGTGGAGATAGTCAATACAGAATATTCTAGAGAATTGTTGAGTCTCGTAGCAAATTAAAGGTTAAGATAAATAGCTTATTCATGAAATAAAAAGAGGTGGTGGGGAATTAGAATTGCACGAATCCATGAAAGACGGAAATACGAAGTTGTATGTATTAAAGGGACTGTAAGCTTAATTTTAAGTGACGCTACGTGCAAAGAGAGCAATGCAACGGTACCCTTAAAACCTTTGACTGTTTGAGTAAAAAGATCTCGTTTTAAAAATGTCGGAACCCGCTTAAAAAAAGGCCTGTACGCTGTGTACAGATTAACCTCAACGCAGTTGATCTGTTTAACACGTAACTGAAAGTAAAATCGGGTTCAGCATGTTTAGCAACTAAATGAGGTTTTAATAGAGAAATATTGATATGTGCGACATCCTTTATCATTCAAAGGTTTAAATGGTACTGTTGTGTATGGGGAATGCTCCTCTACTTGTAATTACCCCTACGGTGGCCGAATTTAAAGAATTTGAGCGGCGGTTTAAATTTAAGCCGCGGCTTAAATATGGTTAAATAAAATAATTAAAAAATATTGTATCAAATGTTTCAAGATTTAAGCCGGCGCTTAATTTAAACCGGGTTTTGGCAGATTTAAACCGTGGCTCAAATTCTTTAAATTCCATCTCGGGTCCTTTAGGTAAAATAATATAAATCCCTGCAACTAATGATACCTTGGGTAAAATACTCTTTACCAAATAATCTGCAATGGAAATACTTACCTAATTTTAATTCTCTGAAAAGTAAACTCGTCATTGGTTTCACTCCTATAATGACCATGTGGGCGAACTAAAAGATTAAATTTACAATTTAAGACGACTGAATGATGTAAACATTTTATTAAAAAATATCTAAGATTTTGATGAACTTGAATTTGAATTTAGCATTCAAACAATTTATGATGACAAAGGCTAAATGTAAAAAGATATAGTTCAAGACTGAGAATGCTAATTTTTTTTGACAAATTTTAATCCAGGATCATTACAGAGGAAAATATGTAAAAAATCCTCAGTTTTTTTTTATATATTTGTTGGAAATTGAAAATTTAAAAGAAGCTAGATCCCTAGAAAAAAAAAAATTGTACAGTCTATGATATAATTAAAATAGTTTTTGGTTCGGTCCTAATATTCCAAAAAGTTCAAAAATTTACAATGTAGCTTCTAAAGTCCTTGTTTAAGATGAATAGGTAGATTAAGACTGTCAGACCCCCNCTCTAAAAATACATTCTAGATAATATTTTGTCCCTTTTCATGGAGATGGCCCATATGAACAATTGAGATTTGTAATTATTATTGATTTTTATTTGATAATGTTTTTATTTCAGTGATAATATTGTCTAAACCCCTGCCTATATTAACCTTCACAAAATGGCGTCAGCCCGTCCTCAAACCTCAGCTGCGTCCTCTAAACCTTCCTGTGACCTCGACCAGATCTGGGGCGGTCTCAAGGAGGGTATAGAGGAGGTGTTCCAGCGCCGAGCTATGACTAAACAACGGTACATGGAGTTGTACACACTGGTGTACAACTACTGTACAAGTGTAAGCCAGAACAGTGGAAACCAGAGGTCTGGAAGTGGAAAGAATAAGAAGGTAGTTAATCGTTATTAACATTTATGATTCCAAAACTGAGGATCTATTCCATCAATGATAGGTTCTGCTTCTTTCTCATAATCTTTTCTATATTGTTTATTTCTCTTTAACACTATTTGATACTTTATACTAGATTGACCATTAGTTTATACTTATTCGTGTTTACTGTTGGTGTCTATTTGGGTGAATATTTTATTACTTAGGATTCGGAGAAACTTTATTCATAAAAATGCTCAAATCCACCTTGCACCAGTTCTTAAGTTTTCTTAGATACTATTTAAATCAGAAATGATTTTTTCAAACTCATTCATATGTTTGCCTTTTTGTGAGAACAAAATAAGATATTTGTCTAAGTATTTAAAAATGGTTTGATTTATGTCAAAAATATTTTTAATTAAATGATTAAAATTGTAAGCCTTGAATTTGTTTAGAATACTCAGTCATCTGGTGCACAGTTTGTAGGTCTAGAGCTGTATAAGAAGCTCAAAGAATTCCTCAAGGTTTACCAAGTTGGACTCCTTCAGGTACCCCTTAAACCTATACATTCTAATAATAAAAAAAAAAAAAAAAAAAAAAAAAAAAAAAAGAACAATTAAAAAAATCAAAAAATACCAAAAAAAAATAATTCATAGAAAAAAACCTGAAAAAATCCTCAAGATTGAAGTTTGAATATTATCATAAAATATTCTGTATTCTCCTATAATACCATACATAGGGTCCTTGTAGACATCACAACATAAACATTTACAGGGTTTGGGCTTGGTGCCTAACTGACGAGTTATCTTAAACATGATAAAAGCTTTGTCAAATTTTAAACATAATTTTTGGCTTTTATGGTGGCTCAACAAAATCTTAGAAGTAAATAAAACATTTGTTCCCTTCAAGTTCGCTGTTTAAATAATCAAAAAATTTCACTTTTCCGGAAAATATGGGGATGAAAAGCAATTGAAAGTTAACCAGTCGTGAACAGTTTGAGTAATTAAATCAAACTGGCTAAGCTTAAAAGTTTTCTTATGTTTGAATATATTGTAGAAAGGATCATACTTAATGGATGAGCCCGTGTTGAAGTTCTATACAAGAGAATGGGAAGAATATCAGTTTAGTGCAAAGGTTCTCAATGGAATCTGTTCCTATCTTAACAGGTTGGTTTCTCATCAAAGGAATTGAGTCTTTGTCACAAACTCTTATCTTTTAATCCTTATATCTTTGCAACCTGATGGTAAGTAACCTTTGATATTTCAAACTTAAAATATATAATCAACAATACATAGTTTAAATCAAATATCTAAGGTCTACTACATTAGATTGTAAAGATGTAGAGGTTAGAAAATCAAAGTTGTATCAAAGACTTACTTTTTTTTTAAAGCTATCAAATTACCGAACCGGAGATTGTGTGGATATTGTTTATCTTTGACACTTGAGGATCAATCCCTGCAGTGAATGAACAGTGAACCTGAACATCACGGGATATCGAAGTGGATTCATTAGTCATGCATAAGACGGAGATCAATGATTGATCCCGGGATTCGCAACACTGAAGTTCTGACGGGGAAAGATCCGCACTGAAAATTAAAGATGCGTGATGCAAAAAATCTCGGGATACAGTGAGAACCAGCAAACTTTGGAATTTGACTAAAGTTAAGATTTTGCACAATAATTGTGCGGTGTTGATAGACCCATTTTCCTCAATTATGAATTTAATAAGTTACAAGCAAAACTAACTTGGAATAACTTCAAATGCGTTTAATTATTGCTTAAATGTCATTTTCCGCATCTGTTTGGTTTTTACTTTATCTGAAAAAAATCTCATTTTGTAGACATTGGGTGAAGAGAGAATGTGAGGAAGGAACGAAGGGAATCTATGAAATCTATCAGCTGGCCCTAGTTACCTGGAGGGATAACCTTTTCAAGAACCTTAACAAACAGGTAGGTGCAGTACGTTAACAATATAAACAGGTAGCTGCAGTACGTTAACTATATAAACAGGTAGCTGCAGTACGTTAACTATATAAACAGGTAGCTGCAGTACGTTAACTATATAAACAGGTATCTGCAGTACGTTAACTATATAAACAGGTAGGTGCAGTACGTTAACTAAATAAACAGGTAGCTGCAGTACGTTAACTATATAAGCAGGTAGCTGCAGTACGTTAACCATATAAACAGGTATCTGCAGTACGTTAACTATATAAACAGGTATCTGCAGTACGTTAACTATATAAACAGGTAGGTGCAGTACGCTGACAACATAAACAGGAAGATGCAGTACGTTAACTATATAAACAGGTATCTGTAGTACGTTAACAATGTAAACAGGTAGCTGCAGTACGTTAACTATATAAACAGGTAGCTGCACTATGTTAACTATATACACAGGTAGCTGCAGTTCGTTAACAATATGAACAGGTAGCTGCAGTATGTTTACAATATTAACGGGTAGCTGCAGTATGTTAACTATATAAACAGGTATCTGCAGTACGTTAACTATATAAACAGGTAGGTGCAGTACGTTAACTATATAAACAGGTAGCTGCAGTACGTTAACTATATAAACAGGTAGGTGCAGTACGCTGACAATATAAACAGGAAGATGCAGTACGTTAACTATATAAACAGGTATCTGCAGTACGTTAACTAAATAAACTGGTAGGCGCAGTACGCTAACAATATAAACAGGTAGCTGCAGTACGTTAACAATATAAACAGGTATCTGCAGTACGTTAACTATATAAACTGGTAGGCGCAGTACGCTAACAATATAAACAGGTAGCTGCAGTACGTTAACAATATAAACAGGTAAGTACGTTAACTATATAAACAGGTAGCTGCAGTACGTTAACTATATAAACAGGTATCTGCAGTACGTTAACTATATAAACTGGTAGGCGCAGTACGCTAACAATATAAACAGGTAGCTGCAGTACGTTAACAATATAAACAGGTAGCTGCAGTACGTTAACTATATAAACAGGTAGCTGCAGTACGTTAACTATATGAACAGGTAGGTGCAGTACGTTAACTATATAAACAGGTAGCTGCAGTTCGTTAACAATATAAACAGGTAGCTGCAGTTCGTTAACAATATAAACAGGTAGCTGCAGTATGTTTACAATATTAACAGGTAGCTGCAGTATGTTAATTATATAAACAGGTAGCTGTAGTTCGTTAACTATATAAACAGAGAGCTGCAGTATGTTTACAATATTAACAGGTAGATGCAGTACGTTTCTCATAAAAGTAAAAGTGAAATGTATTATTATTATTTTAAGGTGACCAGTGCAGTTCTCAAGTTCATAGAGAAGGAGAGGGGAGGAGAGAGTATCAACACTAGACTGGTGGGTTTAGTAACAGTTTGGTGGTTGGTATTTGGTTGGTTGGTTGGTTTAGGGGCGGGTTGTTGATTGATCGATTGGTTTGTAGGTTGGTTTGTTTGTTGTTTTGTTGGTTCGTTTTTTGGTTCGTTTTGTTGGTTCATGGGTGGATTGGTAATTGATCTTTCAATTGGTTAGTAGGTTGGTTAATTGGTTTATTGTTTGGTTGGTTGGTCATGGAAGAAATTTTGATTGGTTTGGTTCATGAACAGATTGTTAATTGATCATTCAAATGGTTGGTTAGTTGGTCAATCGGTTGATTGGTAGGTTGGTTGGTCATTCAGTTGGTTGGTTGGTTGGTTGGTTGGTTGGTTGGTTGGTTGGTTCATGGAAGGATTGTTGACAGGTTGGTGCGTTTGTTGGTTTGTTTGTTGGTTCATAAACAGATTGTTAATTGATCTTTCGATCAGTTGGTTAGTTAATTAGTTGGTTGGTTAATCAGTTGGTTGGATAATTGGTTTGTTGAATGGTCGGAAAATTGTTTGGTTGGTTGGTTGCATGGTTGGTTAAAGGACTGATTGTCGATTTATCATTCGATTGGTTGGTTTGGTGCTTGATTGGTTGACTAATTGATTGAGATCTGTGCCAAGGATTCAACATTTTGGCTTCAGGGAACCGGATCCGCGGATTTGGATATAAGGAGCAAAATATCAACAAAATCTGCAAACAAAAATATTTTGCTCTCAAACCCCAAATCTGAACTGATGAAGAAAAAATATATGAAAAATGTCCTTAATTTTGATTGGTTTATCAAGTTTACTTACTTGTTTTACTTGATGTGTAGTCTGCAGAAGACACTCTGGGTCCCCGGGGCAGACATCAGTTTAGTTTCCTCTCGGAACAGTGTTCTACCATGCAGGAGACAGGTTAGGGAGCTTCAAAAAACACTGGTCCTGGCACAAGGTTTAGATATTTCATTTCTCCAATCCAGCTTTAAAGATGTTCAGTGTATGTGAATCTTTTAAATCCTGTGGTATGGAGTTTCAGAGCGTGACAATTCTGTTTGAGAAAAAATGCTTTCTTAAATCTATCCTGGATCTTGATGCTATGAAATTATTTCTGTACGCTGTGCTACAGGTCAATCTTAAGTTTTGGTCTCCAACTATGGTGAACATTATGGTTGATTCTACTTTATTAATTATTTTAAAAGTTTGGACAAGATCAAGGCACTGTCTGCTAATGTTCTCATTCCCAGTTCTACAAGCATTTCTTCATAGGTCCTACCTCTCAGCCCAAACACAAGGTTTATAGCTCTGCGCTGCACTTTTCAAGAGTTTCTATGTCTCCTTGCACCCAGGTTGACCAAGCTGGTACTGCAAACTCCAAATGGCAACGCACAAATTGTTTGTACATTTGGTTGAATGTACGCACCTCTCTTTGCATAAAAAGGCTCTTGTTATTTGGGTCAAAATTGACCCTGCCCTTCTAGCAGCCTCAATACACTGGGTGGAGGGTTTAAGATTTGATGAAATTTTGCCACCCATATCCCGTTCTACTGCTTCCAGGGGTGTACCATTCATTATGTATATATATTATATAGTTCATATTGTAGCGACCTATCTGGATCCGTATCTGCATCCAAATTAAAGAGGTCCTAAGCACTGATATATATTGATTAATTTTTTGATTGATTGATTTGTCTATTTGTAGGTTTATTGATCTGTTGATCTGTAGATTTATTGATTTGTTGATTTGTTGATTTGTAGATTTATTGATTTGTTGTTTTGTTGATGATTGATTTATTGATTGAAGGTGAGAAGTGTGAAGCGCTGCAATGTCGAACTGGAACTGATTGATTGATTGTTAGCAGTGTGAAGAGCTGTTATGTTGAACTAGGACTAAATGATTGAATGCTGATTGATATATTGATTCATTGGTTCATTGCTTCATTGATTCATTGATTCATTGATTTTAGGTAAGCAGTGTGAAGAGCTGTTATGTAGAACTAGGACTGAATGAAGAGGATCCAACAGCTAAAGGGCAGAATCTGTCCGTTTACAAGGAGTCTTTCGAAAACCAGTTTCTCAAGGTAAACAAAGAACATACAAGATCTGCAAAATTCGTCAATGACGCTCGTTAATAAGTTTACTTTTGGAAGCACTACCCTTTGATGCGTTATGCCGGCTCCCACTTCAATGAATGACGGATCCGGATAAACTTTTCTGAAATCTAGTCTAAAAAGATTAACTGGTTTAATTTAGACACCTCGTCTTTTTGTTGAAAATAATAACTGAGTTGTTTGCTTTATTAGGGTAATTAAACTTGATAATGTTAATCATGGAGGGAAGGGTATTTTTTATATTATTATACCAATGAAATAGGTATGCTGAACTTGTCTAAAAAACAGTAGTTCATTATATTTCGGAAAAAAAGGTTTTTTGTTTGATATAACTTTATTATTATTATTATTATTACCAATGGTTGTTATCTTTTAAGCTGAATCTTGGCACCGTCCATGTAAACGAACTCAGCCTGAAACGTCTAGTTGTGAAATATGATAAACTAGCTGAAGGGCCCGGCGTTGACCATGGAAAAAAAACTTGAAAAAAAAGTTTGGAAAAAAAAATTATATTTTTTAACTATAACACCCCCCGGCCACCCCTGAGTGTCTACAAAAAAATTCAGCCCAATCGGTCCAGCCGTTTGGCCCGCTATAGGCAACATATATATGTATATATACGAATGTCTTGTTTTATTATATAGATGACTGAATATGATATCCACAGCGTTAACTAGAATTTAAGGATTTAAAGAACTCGCTGTAGGAAAACCAAACAGAGATGAGATAAGAAATGATCAAATGATAACTGTCTCCGACTATTTTAATTAAATTTTTACCCCTGGATCCTGAGCACTAATTTAAATTATTATTGATTTAATCTATATATAAATTTGGCTTGTCTGTCTGTTTGTATCCAATAAACGTCAAAACGACTGAACCGATCGGGCCCAAATTTTTTGTGGGACCTCTAGGGACCCCAGGGAAGGTTTATGAATGATAAAATTTAAAAAAAAATGTGTTTAAATGTTTTTAATTTTGTAAAAAAAATATAATTCTTGAAAATCCGCGAATTTTTTTTTTAAAATCCGCAACATTTTTTTCTTTTTTGTTTTAAAATGTAAACAAAAAGAACATGTTCACAATTTAAATAGAAGATGGGCGCGAAGCGCCCTAAAACCCTAGTATTCAATAATTCTACATAATAAAACAAGACATTCGTATGTATGTTCCCTACGGCCGGCAGAATGGGCTGAATTTTTTTGTGGACACTCATGTGAAGTCTGGGAGTGACATAGGCTAAAAAAATTCGTAATTTTTTCAAAATATTTTTTTTTCATTCCACGGGCAACGCCGGGCCCTTCAGCTAGTTGTTATTCTTCTTCTTCTTCTTCTTCTTGTTATTATTGATATTGATATTATTAGGACACTGAGAGTTTCTATAGTCGGGAGAGCGCCAAGTTTCTTCATGATAATCCTGTTACAGAATACATGAAGAAGGCCGAAACCAGATTAAAGGTATCTAATTCAGGTTTACAAAATCAGGGGTGTATATTATCTCGAAAAAAATATTTTTTCCCTTAAGTAAAAATAGCGTCAAAATTTTTTTTTTTTTTCGCTGAATTGCATAACATTAATGGTTTAAAGGGGAAAATAAAATAATTTTGGGTTAAAAGTATCATAAAGAGTCAGAAGATATGCTTTTTGATGTCCAATGATTAATTCTTCCCTCCCAATCTGCATTAAGAATCATTTTTCCCCAGGGGTAGGGGAATATTTCTGGAAAATATACACCCTGATAAAAATTGTGAATAAGCGCCAGTTCTATGCTTAGTTTTATGGGAGGGGTCACAAAATTTAATGGTATATCTAATACCATTCGTAATAAATTGGTATTGTATAGATAATACTTCTCAAAAAATAATCAATACGAAAACTATTCATTTTCTGACAAATTATATAAATTTTAATTCTAACCCGATTTCGGATATATTGGCTTTTTGATGGAGCGGTGAAACATTTTTTCGTTACAGAAACATCGAGTAGAATATTTTAATGTTGAAATATTCATTTTTCGTCACCATTCCCTTTATTTATTTTTGAATATTTTCAAACTTATCCATAAGATTTTATTTATATTTAGGAAGAGGAGAGGAAAGTGCTTGAATACCTTCATGAAACTACGCTACCCAGTCTACTCAAAACTTGTGAAAAGGTCACAAACAACAAAAATGAAAATTAAATTTTAACCAGAAAAAAAGGCAGAATTTAGTTGTCATAAACGAAATTGGTTCATCCAGTTTTGTTTCAAAATAATTTTTCTCTATAATCAGTTTATAAATTTTTATGCTTTGTCCACCACTTTTTTCGTTGACATACATCTGGAATCATATTATATAAAGATAATAATCCCGGGCCGTACAAAATACATTTTTCGGAATGTAAAGCATAAAATAAAAGAATTGAAAAAAGGTTAAAATCAGAAACAATTATTTTTAGGTTTTGATTGAGAAGCATCTTGAGACCTTCAACCTGGAGTTCAAGACGATGCTGGTGGCGGATAAGGACGAGGATCTGGGCAGGATGTTTCAACTTGTTTCAAGGTAGGGGTGGACCAGGGACCAATAAGAATGGTCGATATTGGAAATGCTCCACCCAGCACGTGGATTTAACGGTTCTGTCAATATTCCAGAAAGCTGTGACTTTCGATCACAATTTGACCCGTTAAACATAATTTGTAAGCCTTTTTTCTAAAATACTGCTTTGTCGGCATATGCATTTTGAATGAAAAAGTATAGAATAAAAAATCCGTAAAGTAAATGATTATTGAGTTATAGACCAAAACACGTTTGATTTCAAATAGAAGAAACCGAATGCTGCTCACTCTGGTTAGTCCGGGGTGCCAGAGGCCGCGATTTGAAAACTTCGGCCCGAGCCGTAATTCCTTAAACCCGACTTTAAGACCCAATCTTCGACCCAACTCTGACGACAGCTTGTGTCACGTCACACTTTATCAAACAAAGCTTTTTAGGTTACTGTTGTGAGTCGGGCATGGCCTCCTTCGCATGAAATTTTATCCATGTTTAATTTTCCCACAAAGCTATTTTATCCATGTTTAATTTTCACACAAAGCTATTTTATCCATGTTTAATTTTCCCACAAAGCTATTTGTCCATTTTTAATTTTCACACAAAGCTATTTTGTCCATGTTTAATTTTCCCACAAAGCTATTTGTCCATTTTTAATTTTCACACAAAGCTATTTTATCCATGTTTAATTTTCACACAAAGCTATTTTATCCATGTTTAATTTTCCCACAAAGCTATTTTATCCATGTTTAATTTTCACACAAAGCTATTTTATCCATGTTTAATTTTCCCACAAAGACTCAGTCTCCCCCTAATTCTCAGTCTCCCCCTAACCCTGCTAGCAACAACACATCTCTGTAACTCTCTCTCTCCTAGCCTGATACCAGCTGACCCAGCTAGCTGTTGCTATGGCGGGGAGTTTAAAACACAAACAATGAGAATTACACATAAACTCTTGGAGTTGTATAGGGAAGGAGTGGATCTAGGACTGGATATCAAGCTTAACCTGTGGACTAAAGATGGAGAAATCCAGAATCTGAAACTGAACTTGAAATCGAACTAAAACCACCTGTGAACATTGCAAACCCAGTTTTAACTTTCTGTGAAGAAAAAGATTGTACAGTTTGCCCAGTTAGACACAACGCAATTAGAACATATGAAAAAGTAGACAACCAAATTAAATATCAGTTGGTTAATAACTACAAGAAGTTCTATTGTTTCTCAGCAATGGATGACGAGGGAGTCAGCTGCGAAATATTGCACTGGCATTCAAAGTCTAATCTGTGTCTATCATATGAATCATTTATATAGAAAATAAATAATGTAGTTTTTCCATTTATGAAGGTTGTAAACTTGTAATACAATTGTAATATCTTAATCTCTGCTACAAAATAAATATTTAGATCTAAAAAAAAAAATTTTCCCACAAAGCCATTTTATCCATGTTTAATTTTCCCACAAAGCTATTTGTCCATTTTTAATTTTCACACAAAGCTATTTTGTCCATGTTTAATTTTCACACAAAGCTATTTTATCCATGTTTTATTTTCCCACAAAGCTATTTTATCCATGTTTAATTTTCCCACAAAGCTATTTTATCCATGTTTAATTTTCCCACTAAGCTATTTTATCCATGTTTAATTTTCCCACAAAGCTTCGAAAATCGTTCCCAAAATCCTATTTAATTTTTATTTTTCAGGATTCCCGATGGTTTAACCGAACTGAAAACCCTGCTAGAAGTTCATATATCAGAAGTTGGACTATCTGCAATAGAGAAATTAGGACAGGTAGGAACTTATTTTAAGGAAAAATATATTTTTGCAACCTGTGTTTGTTATGTTTGTATTATATCAGTGGTGTAAAGTTTTAGAATTTTTATACTTTTTACTCAAAAAATCATATATTTTCCCCTCTAAAATCATTTATTTTCACTATTCTAGCGTGAAATTTTTTTTTAATTTGCCGCTCTGCCCAAACATATATAACTTCTGTAGAAAACAAATGATTTTTTAAAGGGGGGGAAATACTCACTCTTTTATTGAATTCATTGTGATGGAGGGGGGGAGTCGATAACTGTATCCCCCCCTTTGCGATCTATTATGATATTAAACTAGGTAGTGTGTACTAAACTTAAACAGTTCATTATTCACCATTTTGTTCGTTTATTTGTTCACCAATTTTTTTATTTTTTTTCATTTTTCATCCATTTTACTTCATGTGCCTTGTTCTTGAGTCAAATACAAAAAAAATTATTTTGTAAAATGTTTTTATTTGTCCAGGAGGCTCAGAATGATCCTAAAATTTATATACAGACTATACTCGAAGTGCATAGGTAGGAATATTATTTATTTTATTTCTTGGAACGTTTTGTGGTGGATGTTAACAAGCAAAAAATTAATTTTGAAATCGTCGAAATCTTTTTTTACAATCGATATATTAAATCTATGTTCGAATTTTATAGTTCTAATTCTAAACCATAATAACTTATCTATCTATCTATGTTTGTAATGTTAATATATAAATCTAATTTAGAACTGTATTCATGAAAAAGAGGGTTTTAAAGGAAAGGTGTGAAAATTTTATTTTTAGAAAATTCGATTCTCTTGTGATGCGATCCTTCAACAGAGATGGAGGTTTCGTGGCTAGTTTAGACAAAGCTTGTGGTAGGTTTAAAAATAAAATCTATTTTATTTAAATTAGTGGAAACGAAAAAATTAGACATCCCTAGAGGGCAAGTTTTCTTCTTTAAAACTTCTACTCAAAATTATTTATTTCACCTGAAATCCAATTCAGTGAATAAATCCTATAAAAAGAGAGGAGGAGGAGGGGGGGAGATGGTTGAAATGATTTTAAAGAAAATATATATTACAGTACACACTCCTGGCATTGTTGTCAGTGTATTTTGTCAAAGTGTTTTATTAGTGATGGTAATTATTGTCCGTGTCGTGAATCAAATACCTGATGATAATAAAAACCCCTTAAATGAATCAAAAGCTGTGAAGTCCAATGCACTGATCTTTTTGTTCTAATGCATCACATCTTCACTTTTCACTTTATGTTCTTTAGTCAAAGCTTGTCAGAGTTTAAAACTTCATAATTTTTAAAACATTTCCTGCAGTGCTAAAAACCTGTTAAAAACTTTTTGCTGTGAAATAAAAAAATCTCAACTATATGATAATGAGAGATTATTTAAAATTTTTTAATTTCCTCAAAAAATCTGTAAACCTTGAAGAAATGCTTATGATCTTGATCAGTATCCGGTTTGGAACCATGATCCGGATCTGCATAAAATGATTTCCTAATATTTGTATTTTATTATTATCAGGAAAATTTATCAACAATAACAATGTGACCAAGGTAGCAGATTCTTCTAGTAAGAGCCCGGAACTACTGGCGAAGTAAGTTGGTATCTTTAATTCTATTTAATAGAACCAGTGGTGGGAACTATTGTATTGTAGATATCGAGATCAATGCTTTATCTCAATTTTGTTAGTCTAAAGATATTTTTATATCCCGCACAGTCAGTGGTTGAAGGAAGCTTCGATCAGAGGAGAAATAACTGATAACATTGAGTCTCAAATCTAAGGTTCCCACAGTAGATATCGAGATCAAGTGAGGAGTATCCAAGTTCCCAATTGTATTGTAAACATCATGTTTCTAGACTTCTGTCCTTTTATTCTGTTTGTCCAGAAAATGAATTTTTAATTGGTGAATCAATTATCAAGTATTTTGAATAAGGATCTGAGTAAAATATGGTTGAAAATTCTTGTGAACTCCAGTATTACAGTTTCTAACTGTTCGTATCTTATTCCTATATTCATGATTTTAGGCAATCTTGAATAGTTCAGTATTCTTAATCTTTTTACTATGTTTTAGTATTTATGGTATTTATTATTAAGAAATAGCTTGTACTCAAAAATTAATAAATTTTCTTAAAAATAAGATAAATTTTGTTTGCCCTCCGACACAAACATGCCTAATGTAATGATGGGGATGATTTTAAGGGGAGGGGAAAAATTGTATATTATTTTTTTGTTTTTTTTTCCTCAAAATTCTAAATGTTCCCTAATAAAGCAAAAAAAAAGTTTTCAAACTTTAATAATAAAAATTTTCCAATATCCCTGTCCTTCCTCCTTATTATTCTGTCTAGATACTGTGATGCCCTGCTGAAGAAGTCCAGCAAGAACCCTGAGGATGCAGAGTTAGAGGAAACTCTAAACCAGGTCTATACTCTACTGTACTGTTTTCTACAGTAATCTTTCATTCTCTTTCCCTCTTTTTCGGGTAAAGGTGGCCACATATAGTGAACTGGAATTGGTTGCCCAAGATTGGGCTTCTTGCATATCCCACCCTCGTATACTTCTTGTATGCAAATAGACTTTTACTAGTTATATACCATTGTGATCAATAAGTTTCGCTAAAATTTTCTAAGTAGTGTCAGCTCTAATTTTTGTTTTAAGTTCACTATATTTATACTGGATACATTTTTGGCCAGGTTGGCGTCAAGCAGATTGCTGTTGTAATGTAAGGAGTGTTCTCCTGAAGGTGGATGTGCTTCGTTGTCACAGCATAGGAATATCTAGAATATTGATCGGAGAAAGAGGACACTTTGGAGGCTCGATTACTCAAACATGTTTTTGTTAGACAATGCAAAAACCGAACAGAACCCTTAAACATGCTCCGGCACGTATTTTAAAACGATTTCATGAACTTTAATGGTAGTTTAATGGGGTTAAGAAGGGAAATATGAATATTTGAAGGATTATGACATGTCCGGGCGGAAAAAGACCATTAAGACCCCAAAAATGGTCAAAAATATTGAAAATAGCAAGGGTTCTCGTAGCATGTTTGATATTTGCCTATACATTGTAAACAAAGTTGTAAAGCAAGATTTGAAAATGACAAAAATCTTGGCAAAATTTGTCGAAAAATCTCGTACGTAGGACCAAAGGGATGACATTGATTATGTATCTTGAATGTAAATCAAAGCCAGAAAACTCCTCTGAAGTCCTTCATACATTAAATACTTTATCGCTCTTCTCTTTTGATCGTTTTTAAAGGGTCTAAAACAGACTTTGTTGGATCAAGTTTGGATCCATTTTGAAATTTTTCTTTCTGTGGCGAACGAAGCTGAAATACTTCGGGAGAACGCTCATTATAATTACTACAACGATCTTATTGACATCAGCTGATATGAAAATAATCCGGTAAAAATACAGTAAACTTTCAACAAAAAAATCAGAGCTGAGACTTCAAGACGTACCCATAACTTTTATTAGCGAAACTTATTGATCACACCTTGTCACTTCAGTTTCAGTAGAAGTAAATATTTCTATTTACTGTTTAACCCCGATCAACGGATTTATTTCTGATTGGATGATGAGTATAGATAGAAAAATAGATGTTATCGCTGTGCAATTTCTATTGGTTCAGAATAGACACCAAACACATGACTGAACCCTGATTGGATCAGGCGCTAATGGACGGCACACTAGAGTGAATTGTATTGTACGTTTTCAGTAAGAGTATGACAATATATCTGATGTGAACTTCAAAAGACAAGATAATTCTAAAATGTATATTTTACCACTTTTGAAAAAGTTTTTGTCTATAATTAAAGGTGAATAAAAAAATTTTCTAAAAAACTTTTTTTCCGCGTCAATAATTTTGTATATACATAGTTCCGTGATTAATGATAAAATAATGTAGGTGATGACGGTGTTCAAGTATATCGAGGATAAGGACGTGTTCCAGAAGTTCTACAGCAAGATGCTGGCTAAACGTCTAGTTCAGGTAAAATTCAAGGGACTGATCATATCTGCAGATATCAAATAAGGAGCCAATAATCACCGAGAAGATTCTAATTATGCGTTTTTTTTTAATTCAAAGAGATCTTTCAACCCAAAATGCTGCTATTTCATGAGTAAATATACAAAAGTGAACTCTGAGGTTAAACATTTTTAATATTAATAATCTCTTCAGAAATCACTAATCCGTATCTGTTGTAGTCCCCATGTATTAAGTCAAATCACTTCAGGTATCTCTGGAGGTCGTAGAAATTTTAGTTAGTTGCGATAATCAGATAAACGGATTAAGAACTCAGTTGTAATTATCAGATAAACGGATTAAGAACTCAGTTGTAATTATCAGATAAACGGATTAAAAACTCGGTTGTAATTATCAGATAAACGGATTAAGAACTCAGTTGTAATTATCAGATAAACGGATTAAGAACTCAGTTGTAATTATCAGATAAACGGATTAAGAACTCAGTTGTAATTATCAGATAGAGGGATTAAGAACTCAGTTGTAATTATCAGATAAACGGATTAAGAACTCAATCGCTTTAAATTAAAAGATTCCTATCTTGAAATCGAGTTCAGGCATTTGAAAGGATTATCTGATACAAAATATATATATCTATATATACAAAGTGTAATCTCTGTAAAGTCTGTTTGTTTTTCCGATCATAACGCAGGAAACCCTTGGACCGATATTTCTAAAATTTTGATATATATATATATATATATATAATGTACTGTGCAGGGTATGTCTGCAAGTGACGATGCTGAAGCATCCATGATCACGAAGCTGAAGCAAGCTTGTGGATTCGAATACACCAGCAAACTACAGAGGATGTTCCAGGTATAACTTGTTCATTGATTGATTGGTTGTTTGATTGATAGGTTTGATTGATTGTTTGATTGATCTTGAATTCGAATACACCAGCAAACTACAGAAGATGATTAATGATTGATTAACGGATTATTTTTTTAAATTTTAAATAAATTCAAAGGGTGAGCTACTTTTTATAACGGCAACCTTAAGAATAGATTCTACGATTTTTGAAGATTAATTGGCTATTGGATTATAAGGCTGATTAACTGGTCGATTATTAGATTTATTGATATGTTGATTTGTTAGCTTAAATAACTTCATAGGTTTACTCACTAAAACCTAAAAACATTGCATTCGATTCTACGATCAATTAAATTCCAAGAATGAAACTATGCAAAATCATTAAATGCATTGTAGAGAATCTCTAAAAAAAAATTGCAAAAATTGGAAGATACTCTCATAAAAAAGTCGAAAAATATAGATACAATTTCTGAGCATATGAAAATGGTAAAAAAAAAATATTATAATTTAATCTTTTAGTATGTAGTAAAAAATGGCGTTAAAATTAGCTTGATAGCTTAATTAACAAAAAAGTTACAACCAATTGTAGCATGCGAGGACAGGCCGAAAATTGCCTCGAGGCCGGAACTGTAGGAGGCCATAACTCGTAACCAGAGGTCACAGGAGTCAGAAATTTCGGATTAAATGTTTTCTCATAATATGCCAGCTGTGTGCAAAATTTAGAGAAAATCCATGACATGGACTACACTGGGGTGGCTGATTTGTTAAAGAATGACCTTATTGATTTATTTCTTGGTTTTCTGTTCTAGGATATCGGATTGTCCAAGGATCTGATTGAATCTGATTTTCTGTTCTAGGACATCGGATTGTCCAAGGATCTGATTGAATCTGATTTTCTGTTCTAGGATATCGGATTGTCCAAGGATCTGATTGAATCTGATTTTCTGTTCTAGGATATCGGATTGTCCAAGAATCTGATTGAATCTGATTTTCTGTTCTAGGATATCGGATTGTCCAAGGACCTGATTTTCTGTTCTAGGATATCAGATTGTCCAAGGACCTGATTGAATCTGATTTTCTGTTCTAGGATATCGGATTGTCCAAGGACCTGATTGAATCGTTCCGTCGGCATCTGGAGAACTCAGAAATGCTCAATGTTGATTTTTCTATCCAGGTTAAACTTTGTTTATTAAATACAGTGGTCAGCATATATATCAATACAGTGTTACTGAAATTGGGATATAATTTTTATAATTTATTAGAATACATACACCGAACACACGTTATTATAGTATCTCAGATCCGGACACCACTGAAATATGTGTCGGACATCACCGTTTTAGTAAGCCATTTTGTATTGATATATATGCTCACCACTGTAGAAAATAGTAGGATGCTAAACCTTCCCCCCATACTATTTTATGTCAAAGATATTCTATGCAATTATACTAATTGAAGTCGACCTTTGTTTAGATTCTTTTCTTATTTGCGTCATTATTACCAGTAATATCAATATAAATTGTTATCATCATTATTGACATTATTAGTATTATTATCAACATTGATATAAGTAAATTATTATTTTAATTTTCTTTATTCTATCAGGTTCTATCAAGCGGTTCTTGGCCATTCCAGCAGGGTTGTACTTTCAGCCTTCCTTCTGTTTTAGAGAGATGTGTAGGAAGGTAGGAAATCAAAGTATTGGGGGGGGGGGGGAATATCGTAATAACAAATGTTTGAGATCAAATACAAAGTATGAATCAGTTTAAAAGTGGAAATTAAACTGAAAGAGAAATCAAATGGAAAGAGAAGTAAGAAGAATGACTGCTGAGAATATTTGTGTCTTCCCCTTAAACGTTAAGATCAGCTTCGTCCAATTTGTTAATGGACACATTGTTATAGCAGGGAGCGTTGACCCAATCTAATCATTTCGGTACAACCATTTAGTCAGCTGTAAATAAATATATATTTACATATTGTATATATGAGCAAAGATTTTCATTATTAAATCTTTGAAGGATTTATTGATTGATTGATTGAATGATTGATTGATTGATTGATTGATTGATTGATTGATTGATTGATTGATTGATTGATTGATTGATGGATTGATGGATTGATGGATTGATGGATTGATGGATTGATGGATTGGTTGATTGATAATAATAATAATATTTAGGTTTACAACATTTTACAGCAGTATTCACTCTGGTCGTAAACTGAACTGGTTGTATCAGATGAGTAAAGGAGAACTTGTCACGCATTGTTTCAAGAATAATTACACCATCTCAGCTTCAACCTTCCAGGTACCAGGGGACACCCACTACTGAGCTTTTAAAAGTGTGGCCTGCTATTTTTAACAAATCATATTGGACTCCTCCAAGTCTTTTCAATAACAATTGACCGAAATAATTTTTCTACCCCTTTTTTCTTAGCGAGCTGATGTCGCAGACCTGCAATAGTTCAAACTATGACTTTGTTAGATATAATAATCAAATTTAGAAAAATCAAAAGCTTACACATCAGATATAAAGGCATTCGTAAACAGAGTCAATTTCTTCATTTTATATTTGTCTTATTATTTAAAAAAATTTAGTTTAAGTGAACCCTACATTTAGGGGTTGGATGCTTTATTCACTTGAACCTTTATCTTGGTAACAAGGAGGAATTCATCAAATATTTATTCATGATCTAACTAATCTGTTAATAGTACCGTTGTGAATCGGACATGCCATTCTATAAATGGAATGTCAGTTGAAATTAAGAGCACAGTCCCTTTAACACCTTGTTTAGATGTCCATCCTACTTGCCTACAATGAGTCTGATAGTTGGGAGGTGGGGAAGCTGGCTAAAGCTACGGAGATCAAGGAGGATCTTCTGGTTCAGGTAAACAGGAAATACGGAGTCAATGTCGTTGTTTTTTGTAGTTATAACTGCAAGGTAGTTATGTCGTCTTTCGTATCTTTATCTTCATTCTAGTCACTGATGTTTTCTAAATCTTTATCCTTACGTCAGTCGGTGATGTCGTCTTTAATGGTTTATTTCGTACTAAGTGACGTTGTCTATGCTCTAGTACTTTGTATTTTCTTCCATGTTCTAAAGTCAGTAGTAATGTCGCCTTATGCTGTAAAATCCGCAATATTTTGTCAATAAGTTCGTCTTTCAATCTCTTCCTTGTAGTAAGTAATGTCGTTTTCCGTATTAAAATTTGAACTCAGTATTTTTGTCTGTGATATCGTATAAATTGATTATAATATGAATAGGAAGATTACTTTATAGCAATACTAAGGTGTACTTGATGTTGTTACAAAGAAAATATGTTTGTTTTAGTACACACTTATTAAGTGAAATGGGTCTGTTTACACTGAACAATTAATATGTCTCCTGCTTATTGGACTGGTTAAAGTCCTAACTTGAGTCTAAAAGTTGCTTCCTATTCCAAAGTTTTCTGGTTCTCACTATATTTGTGCAGGTTCTACAGATACTGCTCAAGTCCAAACTGTTGACAGTGCCGGGGAATGAGAATATCGAGGAGGCTGATATCAAGTCTGATACTATCATAGCACTCTTTAAAGGGTAAGAAATATAAACCGCCCTTGGTAAAATGACAATTCAGATCTATATAAGATGAGAGGGTTCGGTTGGGGAGAAAGAATGAAGAAAAAAATGGAAATTCGGAAGTGAAAGGGAAAGGGGGGGAGATAAGAGGGAAAAGGGAAGAGGGAAGAGGAAAGAGGAGAAGAGGAAACAGGGAAAAGGGAGAGGAAAGAGGGAAGAGGAAACAGGGAAAAGCGGGAGGGAAGAGGGAAAAAGAGGAAATATTGACTTTAAATCTTAGAACTAATATTCAACCCTGTGACAATTTAGTACGTGGTTGGGTCCAGAGATGTCACATTTTATTCATAACTCCGATACACACCTGTATCACTCAATTTGACACAGTAAAATATTTTTCTTCAATAAGATCTTCTTAATTTTTCTTTGAAGATACAGATAATGTGATGTTCTCAATCTCAAATGCTCTTTATTCCTACGATGAACCACCACTTGAAAATATTTTTTTAAGCCTCATTAAGAGATAAAAACCCTTGATTTATTAGGGGTGGGTTTTGATTTTTTATTTATAAATATACCATTAATGGGACTGTAGCGTAATTTCAAGTGACCCTCCATGCAAAGATGACAATGCCCGATTTACAACGGTACCCTTGAAAGCTTTGTCTGATCAAGCATGAATTAGATATTAATTTTTTTGTTTGTTAAACCTGTTAATTTTTAATTGCGGTTTTTCTGTGTAAATGACTTGCGCATTTCTTTTTTTTTAAGAAGCAATGAAGAAGCTCACAGAAATGAACACTTCGAGTCAGAATAAATATGGTATCTTCCACAAGTTTTATCATAGTAAAGTGTTAAGGGTACCGTTCCAAATCAGAAATTGTATTCTTTGCATGGAGGCTCGCTTGAAATTTTGCTTACAGTCCCTTTAATGATAGAGATAAGAACAAGAAGCTGAGTTAAATAAATATTAATGTTTAGAGATAAGAACAAGAAGCTGAATTAAACAAATATTAATGTTTAGATATAAGAACAAGAAGCTGAATTAAACAAATATTAATGTTTAGATATAAGAACAAGAAGCTGAATTAAACAAATATTAATGTTTAGAGATAAGAACAAGAAGCTGAGTTAAATAAATATTAATGTTTAGATATAAGAACAAGAAGCTGAATTAAATAAATATGAATGTTTAGAGATAAGAACAAGAAGCTGAATTAAACAAATATTCATGTTTAGATTTAAGAACAAGAAGCTGAATTAAATAAATATGAATGTTTAGAGATAAGAACAAGAAGCTGAATTAAACAAATATTCATGTTTAGATATAAGAACAAGAAGCTGAATTAAATAAATATGAATGTTTAGAGATAAGAACAAGAAGCTGAATTAAAGAAATATTAATGCTTAGATATAAGAACAAGAAGCTGAATTAAACAAATATTAATGTTTTGATATAAGAACAAGAAGCTGAATTAAACAAATATTAATGTTTAGATATAAGAATAAGAAACTGAATTAAACAAATATTAATGTTTAGATATAAGAACAAGAAGCTGAATTAAACAAATATTAATGTTTAGATATAAGAACAAGAAGCTGAAGGTAAACATCAATATACCGATGAAGGGTGAGCAGAGGCAGGAGAGCCAGGAGACTCACAAGCATATTGAGGAGGACAGGAAGCTACTCATTCAGGTAATTGTCATCTTTGTTCTTAGGATTGTGAAATCTTGCGAGCAATATGTTTAGCTGGTTGAGTTTAAACCTATGTATATATATTATAGTTCAAATTATTTGTATTTCAGGCTTTAGTAATTAAAATTATGTTAATCACAGTCCACCATGGAACAAATCGTGTTTATTATGCCAAGTTTGTTTATTGTTCTCTACAGTTTAAGTCGTGTGAAAGCCTGCTATGATGATGTTTGTGTTGCCCGCTATAGTTCAAATTATGTTTTTTATACATCCCTACTGACAAAACCATGTTTATTGTGTATTATAATCTTTATTTTCTAATCATTGTAATCTTATGTGAATGTTTTATAGTTCTAATCATTTGAAAGCCCGCTAATGTTCAAACTATGATTATGATTATTATAATTATGTTTGAAGTTCAAACCATGTGTATGTTTAGGCTGCCATAGAATAAATCATGTGTTGTTATGGCTGCTATAGTTCACGCCATGTTTATGTTAAGGTCGCTTTAGTTCAAATCATTTTTATGTTTAGGCCGCTATAGTTCGAAATTTCTGTATGTTAAGACGACTATAGTCCAAACCATTTGTATGTTTAGGCCGCTATAGTTCGAAACTTGTGTATGTTAAGACAACATAGTTTAAACCATTTGTATGTTTGTTTAGGCCACTATAGTTCAAACCATTTGTATGTTTAGGCCGCTATAGTTCAAACCATTTGTATGTTTAGGCCGCTATAGTTCAAACCATGTGTATGTTTAGGCCGCTATAGTTCAAACCATTTGTATGTTTAGGCCGCNGCAAAAAATCAGCCTCCTACGACAATTCTAAGTTATGTTTAAACACTGTTTAAATTTTCCGGAGAGTAATACGTTTTGTGGCCCCCCCCCCTTTATCATCTTGATTATAGTTAATCAATGTTTCTCTACTTTTTATGTTTTTAACGATTGATAAAAACTTTTTTACTTCTAAAATTATTATTTATTTTTAGGTATATTTCCCCTCCCTGAAAGGTCCCCCTCTACGCTACTATGAAGATAAAAACAATATCCGAATATATCTTCATAATTAACAATTTTCCGACATTGGACATTTTTAAGAACAAATAAACTCTATAAACACACTTTCATCTTTACCCAAAGTTAGTTTTGAGATGAAAATTAAAAATGATTTAATCATATGTTTAAAACCTTAATTATGATTTGTATAAAAATAATATTATTTATCGAGTTATAGAGATGACCGACTCTTTATTCATTATTGTTCTATTAAAGGGACTGTAGTTTGAAGACAGAATGCAAATTAACCCTCCTTATAAAAGAGGGAAATATCAGATTCACAAGAATACCATTGAAACCTATATCTGTGAAATTATGTAATGTAAGATACCGTCGTTTGTCCAGATTATTCTTAGATTTTTTTTTGTTATTTTGAAGCCAAGAAATGCGCAAGCCAATAAAAAAATAGTTAGTTTTTCATAAAAAAAAGCATTTACGACTAATTCATACTTGATCAGACAACGCAGTGAATGCTAACACTTCCAGAAAGGATCACTTGAAATTACAATTACAGTCTCCGTTACGTTCTTATGATTTATGCAGGGTGTCCCACGAAATATGTCGGTAGCAAACTTAACGTCATTTTTGATATAATTTGCTGCAGTTTTTTGTCGACCTAATTTTAGAAATAAAATAATAATCTCAAAACATCCCCAGTCCTGGAATTTCCAAAAAAGGTTATCTGCATTTTTTTGTGCTTTTAATATTACCCAAGATATGAGAAGACCAACTCGACCAATATGATTCTATGTAACAAAATTAAAATCTGAATATAATTCTAAATATCTGTGGTAATATTGACTGCACAAAAAAATCAAACTACATTTTGTTATTGCCAGGATTAGGAGAATGTTGTGGCTGTTGTATAAAGAATCATACATGTTAAATAAGGTTTAATACTGAATGTCGCGTATAAATTCCAGGATTAAATACGACATTAAAGTCGTCTTACTATTGTCATGTTTCGTGGGATACACTGTATATTCCTACAATTTTCTTTATACACAGAAACCGCAATTGAAAGATGAAAATCTATAATTAGATAACAAGGCTTGAAATTAATTCTTTCCGAATATAATATTCTATCGCAAAGTAAAGGTATTCTGTATTTAACTGTAGTACATATACTATTCCATTCACATTCTACTTTACTTTATACTATACTATAACAAGAGAAAATAGTTATTTCCAATTCTAACTGCAGGTTGGATAGGTCCACGGATAGCTCCACCCTGAAAATAGTTAACATGAAGAACGACGGAATTAGTTGGTTTCTTTTAGCCTATATTTTATTTCAGAGTCAAAAAGCGAATGTTTTTTAACAATTAATTAAATTTTAACAATTGAACACTTTGTATTTCTTTTGTCCTAATATATGAAAAACTTGCCAAAAACGTTGATTTTTGGATCGTTTTTGAACAAAAAAAATATTTAAAAAATATTTACTCTTTTTACACTATGCCAAATGTTGACCCTGGAGGAGAATATGGGGAAAAAATCAACCAACTGCACATGACTAGTCACCATGAGGCCTCATCAAATGAAAAGAACTGTCTTCTTCTTTGAAGTTAGTGTTCGCGAAAAATGAAAGGGTGTAAAGGCTTAGCACGAAAAGCGCTTTTAATCGTTACTAATCTAACTTCTATCAATGATGGCGAGAAGGAAAAAATTGTTAAAAACGACTTATACCGAAGAAGTCAGCGTCCATACAAATTAAGAAAGTTGCAACATACAACTCCGTTCGAAAAAAAAATCAATTTAATTCCAAAAAAAACATTCAGATATTAAAACCAATAATCATCCATGATTTTTTTTGACATATTCGTATACAGTTGATATTTCATAATATTTTTTATTTTTTATGATCTGATAGTTACCCTTGAAAACATATATTCCAGTTTCAAGGATTTTTGATAATAAAGACGACATTTTCATTTTTTCCCAGAAATGTTCGAAAATCCAGTGCAAGCGAAATATTATTTTTTTAAAATCAAAAATAATATGACATATTAACCATTAACGAACGCATCGAAAAATAATCGAAGACTATTGTTTGTAATATCTAAATGATTTGTTTGGAATTAAATTGATTATTTTACGATCCAAGTTAACTGTTGCAACTTTCAGAATATATATGGACGCTACGTTCTTCAGCATGATCCGGTATAACAATTTTCTCCTTATAGACGCAACAGAAAGATGTAAGGTTAGTAGCTATCAAAAGCTCTCATTTTTTGCCGTAAGCCTATACCCCCTTTCGTTTTCACGAACACTCCCTTTAAGTGACCCTGTAAATATATGGTTTAAAACCTTTATCTGATCCATAATGTGAACAGTGGAAGATGAATCATTGTTCAACATCAACGCTTTATTCGAGGATACCGTTGTGAGTGGGACTCAATAAATGTATTCATTTGGAATTACGACCTTAGTCCCTTAAGGACATAATGTCAGTGCTTGGTGATAAAGCCAATTCTAGGCAATATAGAGGGTCAGCTAGAGTTCTCAGACGTGGTGAGACAAATTAAATTCTGATATTTGTTTTCCATTATCGATAATAAACCCCGAGGGGTTCTAAGTGTATCTCTGGAAAAGCAAAAACTATGATTTCCGGGAGGGTTGGCGGTTAGCTCTCCTCCCCCCCTTGGACAAATTTATTTGCACGCCCCTGGGTGAACAAATCTTCCCTAAAAAATACCTTGCTCAATCCAGAATTGGCGCATACACAGTTCTAATCCTAGAGAAGGTCGCCACATCACACACTCTGCCATCCCCCTGGTATACTCCTTGATCTCGTCCATCACCCAGCTAAACAATATAGAATAGAGAGTGTCCAGTTAAATAATATATAATATAGGGTGTCCCATTAAACAATACACAATACAGGGTGCCCCACTAAACAACACAGGGTGTCCCACTAAACAATACAGGGTACCCCACTAAACAATACAGGGTGCCCCACTAAACAATACAGGGTGCCCCACTAAACAATACAGGGTGTCCCACTAAACAATATAGAATAAAAGTGTTCCACTAAGCAATAAAGAATACGGGGTGCCCCACTAAAGAATATAGAATACAGGGTGTCCCACTACAATATAGAATAAAGGGTGTCCCTGCTAAACAAACTAAACAATATATAATACAGGGTGTCCCACTAAACAATATAGAATACAGGGTGTACCAATAAACAATATAGAATACAGGGTGTACCAATACACAGTATAGAAAACAGGGTGTCGCACAAAACAATATAGAATGTAGGGTGTCCCAATAAACAATATAGAATACAGGGTGTTCAATGTAGTTTTTTATTGTAAAGTTTAAGATACAGGGTGTCCCAAAAAACATGGGAATTCAGTGACGAATTCGATATCGTCTTTTCAAATAATTCTTTGATTTAGTATAGTGATACCTACTGAGAAAGCTGTAATCTGTAAGAGTTTCGTCTGCTATGTTTACATTTTGTTTGTTTATGTTTTGACTGCATTCGGTTGTACTTAGTAAAACAAGAAAATTACAGTATACAAACAGAGTAAACTTGTCCGTATTCACTGTTCATCTTGCGGAGACATTATAGACACATCTTTACAGTCTTTTACCCTTTTCATAAAATAAACTCTAGCAGACATAATAATATTATGGCTTTTAAAATTAGGTATTACAATGCTAATTCATAACAAAGACGATATCGAATTTGTCACTGAATTCCCATGTTTTTTGGGACACCCTGTACATGGTTAAACCCACAAATGATGCATATATCCTATATTTAGTGCAATCTTGTAATGAAGAGATAAATAGTTAAAACCGAGGAATTTTCTTGTCTTTTCTCTAAATATATATTCTCTACTCTGTGACTGTACCTCTTCTGTTTCTTAACAATGATTTCCCCGACACCTAGTTCATTCATCATCATATCAGCCAGCTCCCCCAGGCCTTGAAGTACACCATCAAACTGTAAACAATAACAAATAAACAATTCATTCGTCATGATATATGCTAGATCTTGCAGTACACCAAACTGTAAACAAAAACAAATAAACAATTCATTATTAGTCATTAATCAGTAGTCAATTGTCGAGTATATATCTTTACATGGATTAATGAATGGATTATTGAATGGATCATTGAAAAGATCAACGAAATAAATCATTGAATGGTTCAAAGAATTGATTATTGAATGGATCAATGAATGGGATTAAATAATGGAATGACAAATGAAAGGATGAATGAATAAAGGAAAGGATGAATAATTGAATTACCGAGAATGTAGTTTCTCTCCATTCTGAATCTACACTGAAATGTTCAAGCACTAATCCCTGAATAAGGAACATTTCCTGATATCTTTTACATCTGAGAAACAATATTAATGATACTATACTGAAATTTGTAAACACTAGGCGCTCATCTTCTATTTCAATTGTGAACATGTTATTTTTGTATACATTGTAAAACAAAACGAGAAACAAAAAATTTCGCAGATTTTCAAAATTTTCAAAAATCGAATTTTGTTAGAGGCCAATTTTTGAAAATTCGATCATCCATAAACCTTTTCTGGGGTCACGCGAGGTCCCACAAAAAAATTGGGCCCGATTGGTTTAGTCTTTATGGCGTTTATTGAATACAAACAGACAGACAAGCAAAGTATATATATATATATAGATAGTTATAGACAAAAGAAGAAAATTCTACAATTAAGCTAAGTTCTCACAAATTATTATGACTAATGTTACTTAAAACTAAAATCATCCAATAAATACTACGCCTATTAAAAAAATTATGACTTATGTATACTTTCGTTAGAAAATGTGCACAACTTTAAATTAGCGTTTCTAACGAAATTTGACAAGTGACTAACGTAATTCGTCAAAAATTGCGTTAATTTTCTCAAAATTTTCGTTAAAACCGTTGTCCTTTCGAGATAAAAATCTAAAGTTAGAAAATTTTTGCATAAAACAAACTATTTTGAATGAAAATTTTCGTTTTCGTCCTCATTTTCGTCTCGTTGGCTGAACGGAAATTTCGCAAAAGAGAGTGAACGAATGTTTGGAAACCCTACTTTAAATAGAAAGAAATTGAAAATAAGATTTAATTTTCGATGTTTGGATATTTTTTTTCACGTTATACCTGAGTTGTATTTCTCAGAACAACAATCATCCTTCACAGCAGGAACATTTAGTAACAGTAGGACAACAGACGGACAACAGGGAGAACCAGAAAACTCTGGAGGAAGAAGACGACTCATAAATTCAAGTTATGACAGTGCAATTTTGCAATTGTTGGCTGTAAACATTCATTACACAAAGTAAGTGATTCAATAAGAGTATGGTAAATCTTATTGCTTTGTAACAACATCAAATACTCTTAACCCTATTTATTCTGACGTCTGGTTTCATGATTACCTGGAGGGAGGTCAAATTGACCCCCCTCCTTCTATTTTATAATTGTGATACAAATCTATACAATTTGATACGTTTTTGGAAAGCACTTAGGCTCAACTTCAATAATCTGCAAATAAATGGCAAATTTTCACAAATCCAACTATTAATTGCAAAATCTAGTTATTAAGCAAAAAATGTGCAAAAACGTTTGCAAAATTTTTAAAACCTAAATGTGTATTCAAGAAAAACTGAAAATGTGCAAATTCCCTTTAAAGGCGTAGCTGTGCAAAAATCTGTGCAAAATTTCTTTACAATTGGTAAAATGAGGCATTTAGGAAGTATGCCTGAGGACTCAGGCAGTAGGTATAAAAGACCAGCTTTTAGCCTTAAGTTAGAAAAGCCAGAAAATTTGAGCTTCCTAGCTCAAATACTTTTTGAGTCATCGCAAACCCCCCGGATAAATAGGGTTAAGTATGGCTTTCATGTCGTCTTCCTATTCCACAGTTTTCTGGTTCTCACTGTAGGACACAGACTATGCAGAGGACATCAGGCTAAAAGGACATTTGGACAACAAATGAAAGGTCCTTTATGACGTATATGACGTAAAAGACAATTTAGGACAGCAGACAACAATAGGCCTAATATACACCTTCAGGATCGTTTTTGTATCGTTTTTGGATCTTTTTTGATTCACTTTTGTTTTGTTTTTTTGCATAAATTTTCTGTGAGCGTCAAAATTTGGCAAAGTGGAAGAAAACCTAATGTTTAAAATAAACAACAATTTGGAAACAAACAATATGGAAACCAGAAAACAAATTAAAACTCGAAGAAAAGGGAAAAAATAATAATTCACAATTGCATCACCGGCATAGAGAAATAAGAAACAAAAGGTCAATTGCGCAACAATTAGTTAATTGGACGTAAAAAAAAACATTACAAAGCACGTAGATATAAAAAAAAAATATATGAAAACACACAAGAAGATGTTAGACCACAGATGATAAAGACAAAAAGCAGCAAATACACATATTGCTCAAATCGTTGGATGATCCGAGCCGGCACAACATGTACGTATAGGAATTCAGTCGTACTGTCAAATCTGGACTACCCAGTGTAAAATCGACCATGTACGTTTTGGCAAGATCACAATGAAGGAAACAGACATGAGACAATTCAGACATAGACATTTATAGGACCAAGGTACTAATGCAAGGAAAGATATTTCAGAGGTCTACAAATTTTTTGGGCGGAAAAGTAAGCACAAGACGGATGTCGAAGCCTGACATGGAATCCATTTTCACACAAATAATCTATGAAATATTCTGCTCATAGTTCGAAACTATGATTTGAATTATCAAAATTTAATGCTTTTAACCTCCTTGAATACTAAACGAACACTAATGCATCTATTCTTTTTTACAAATTCCGCCCAGAGAGAACTGGTTTCAATATGTACACAGAGTATACGCTACTGCAATTAACTTTCCTTGCATTAGTACCTTGTATAGGACAATAGAAATTATTGAGAATTTAAAGATTTAGTTCCGTTCCTTACGACGTTTTGTTTGAAATCAATATTAAAGTCTCCTCCAGCTTTAACGGGGAATATTGATAGAAAAACTCCTTTTTTCCTGAAAAAAAAGAAAAATTTTGTAAAGTATTTTTTTTGTTCTTTTTTTTAAATAGGGGGCAACTTGCTGAGGAATGGCCAGTAAAAATTTTCTTATTCTTACATCAATACAGCCTGATGGAGTAAACCTTTTTTATTTTTATAAACTTAAGACTATTTGATCTAATACCACAGATCCAAGACAATAGGTTGCAAAGATTTATTAATTAGAAAATTAGAGTTGTTCGTTTCCTGAGAGAATTAAAATTGTTCCTTTAAAAAAACAATAAAAATTTATTAACAAAGATGTTATATGTTATAAGTTAAAAAAAAGGTTATTTCACAGTTTAGACCTTGTTTTTTTCTAATCCAAGATATTTCTTATAAGATATATTTCTAATCCGGTATATTTCTAATCCGACATATTTCTAATCCGATATATTTCTAATCCGGTATATTTCTAATTCGGTATATTTCTAATCCGATATATTTCTAATCCGGTATATTTCTAATCCGGTATATTTCTAATCCGACATATTTCTAATCCGATATATTTCTAATCCGGTATATTTCTAATCCGGTATATTTTTCTAATCCGGTATATTTCTAATCCGGTATATTTCTAATCCGGTATATTTCTAATCCGGTATATTTCTAATCCGGTATATTTCTAATCCGATATATTTCTAAGCCGGTATATTTCTAATCCGGTATATTTCTAATCCGATAAATTTCCAATCCGGTATATTTTTTTTGTCCGACGGATTAAGAGATACAGGATCACACACAAAGAATGAAACTTCAGAGAAGACTGTACGAAAATTCTTCTGTTTGTATATGTAAAAGTATGGCGCTTCCTACAACTTGTTTCTTTTAAATCATTTAATAAGCAATTGAAAGACTATAATTAATGCAGATTGGGATTATCATATTTTAAAGAGTTTTAGATCGTCTTTACAGTCTCATTCTTTATGGGTGACCCTGTATCTCTGAGAAATCGCAAGTTATTGTTTTTACAAGTGTTCACTGTGGATATCTCAGGCGTTGAAGTTAATTTCCATTTTAAACAAAAGTTTCAACCTCTACTTATATTCTTTGAAGAAATTGAGTCTCTGTCACAAACTCTGATTTTATAATCCCTTTATCTTTGCAACCCAATGTCGTAGACCTTTGATGTTTCACTTTGATGTTACTACTTATAGATGGCAAAGATATAGGGATTAGAAAATTTGAGTTTGTAGCAAAAACTCAAATTTGTTTGGTTGAAAAAAGACTTACATTTTATATTCTCCAGTCATCCAAGACAAAGGCAGGGTTGCAGTAACTCTATCCAAATAATTTTATATCCAATGGGTTTATATCAAAATAATGGATTCATTCATTGCAAATAAAATTGAGACTTTTCCAAAAACTCTGAGTTTACAATCCCTTTATCCTTAGACCCCAATGTCGTAGCGTAGACCTTAGATATTTCAAACTATTAATTCTGTTAGATCAAATATTGAAAGTTTGACATATCAAAAGTTTACACCATCAGGTTGCAAAGATATCGGGTTTAGAAAATTTGAGTTTGTGGAAAAGAGTCAATTGCTTTGTTTCTTTTTTCCCTTTACGGAGTTACCCAAAAAGGATGAGACTTCATTTAGGATTCATTGAGTCTTTTTTCTTACATTGATGGATCACTTCTGCTGTATACTTGTTTATATTTTTGCCAAGTCTTTTCATTAATATTAATCATTAAAAATGACTTTACTTAAACTTAGTATTTATACATCGTGGAAACGTTTTATTTGTCTCAAATTTGTCCACAACACTGCATACTCAGTTTAACTACCTTACATAGTCTGTCTGTCCCTTTAACAAAATCCAAGTGCAACCCACAGAGAATTCTTTTTAACGAGTTTCAGGTCTCATCCTTTGTGGGTAACCCTGTTGTTTAAAGAAGACTCCAATCTAGACTATAAGATATGAGGTCAAATTTTACAAATTTACTGACATAGCTTTGTGATCTCATAATTCCTGTTCAGTTTAGATTTTACATCTTACAGTTAGACAAGTAAACTAATTTCTAGTTTTCACCTCTTCCTTATTAGCAAACTCTATAAAAACAAAGTTCAGTTTGAAAACATACAAGACTTTAATTTAAATTACAGGGTGTTCCACGAAACATGACTTATTAGTGAATGGTTTTTAATGTCTTCTACCATATATTATATTATATATTAAAGATATTTCGTTAACACAATCTTTTACTCAAATATATTTTACTTTGAAATTAATTTTACTGTAAAATAACTGCCATGTTATATTTCTTATTAATGATAATTAATATCTTTTGGAAGAAGACATATAAAACTATTCACTAATTGTCATGTTTCATGGGACACCCTGTAGTTTAATGTAAATCCACAATATTCCTTAATGCGCTGTATTGAAGAGATCTATCTCTAAGTAATATAATGTTCTAAAATAAATTACTATTAAGAACCATAGTTTTTAACCCCCGTCCTAGTTACTTCTTTTTTATGCGTTATTTTGGACTAATTAAACTTTAATTTCATAGTAATTCACGGTTAAAATTGGAAAGCTAAAACTTAATTGGGTCTGAATATCTTAGTTGTTTTATATTTCTTTTCAGACTTAAATTAAAATTTAATGTGAAATTATTGTTTTTCGACTGGACATGGTTTACAAACGATTTATATTAGTATTCGTTTAATCAATTATCTAAAAGGGACTGTAAGCGTATTTTCAAGTGACCCTCCATGCAAAGATGACAATGCCCGATTCACACCGTTAGCCTTATAAAAGCTTAGTTTGTTCAAGTATAAATTAGATATCAATGTTTTTTTGATTTTAAAATTTGATTATTTTCTATTTTGAAATTTTCTACAAAAGTGACATGCGCATTTCTACTGCAGAAAAGCAAAGAGAAGTTTTCTAAAAAACGCTTTTCAACTTATAAAAAAAAATAAACTATCTACGATAGTTAAAGGGAGTGTTCGCGAAAAATAAAAAGGGGTATAGATTTACGGCGAAAATTAAGCGCTTTTTATTGCTACTATAATCTTACTTTTATCTGTTGTGTTTATAAGGAGAAAATTGTTAAAAACGACTCATACCGAAGAATGTAGCGTCCATACAAATTCTGAAAGTTGAAACATTTAACTCGGATCGTAAAATAATCAATTTAATTCCAAACAAATTCAGATATTACAAACAAGAGTCATCGATTATTTATCAACACATTCATATATATTTAATATTTCATAATATTTTAGATTTTTTTAAATAATATTTCGCTGGTGCAGGATTTAATTAATAAATATTATAAATGTTTTCAAAAGTAACTCCCTTTAAGATCAGATAAAAGTTATAATTGAGCATTGCCATCTTTGCATGGAGGGTCACCCTTTAAATTAAAAAAACTTCCATTTTATTACTTACAAAATCCTTGATTTTCTTTATATTGTGTAGGTACACGTTACACACTGCCACATTAGCTCTAAAAGATTAAACTACATGAAAAATTATTTTGGTAAATTCTCAATTTTGATTTTGTAAAAACCTGAATACTCGTTTTCTGAGATCAAATTCCAAAGGGAACAGCGGAAGAGGATCTAAAGCCTACAAAAAAGTATTTTTCTGTTGATTAACCGTTTTAAATCTTAAAAAACAACAAATGCAAATGTTTAGTTTTTACGACTTACGAGCATAAGAAACAGTAACTAGCCACTGAATTTTGAATTCATTGCAAAACTGGCCCCAAAGTTTGGAATTCTTCTACCTGTCTCAGTGGACTTGTATTGTTGGTGAGATGTGATAGAATACTCTCCTTAAAAACCTTCTCAACTGTTCTCTCCGCCAGCCTATCCCGGTAGAGTAAACCTCCTTGCCTAGTTTAGTACTTTAGTTAATTTTCTTCACGCTAGATGTCTCTTAAATTAAACTTTATGTTAGATAAATATGTTGGGCTGGGCATCTTTCTGTTATTCAGTTTGTTAACCAACTAAGAGAATGTGTTACTAAAAAACGCTGATAGGATATTACCTGTTAATTATTGTATTCCAGTCCTGATCAGGGTGCAGCTCATTCAGTTGAGGTTCTTTAGGGTAGTTGGAGTACCTGGATCCACAAAGTAGCCCTGGACTCTCCCTACAACATATCATACGAGGAGGGATAAGACTAGAAAAGAATATATATACACAGGGTTTCCAACCCTGGTGTTTTTAGCTCTGTCGGTTTTTTTTATCAAGAACGCAACCTGTTTTTTAAACCTAAAGATTTAGGCGTTTCTCTGGTTTTTTTAAATTTTGGGATTGAAATAGAAAAGATAAATTTAAATCATATTATTATCACAGAACAAACCTTTGTATTTTCAAATGTTAGAAGTAAAAAAGTATTATTGGTGTTCTGTACTAACATGTAACATATTTATTTTAATATGCAATATTTCCTGCGTTATAGAAATCTTTTTTTTAAAAGAATACCTCGCAATTCCTTCAGTGATTAAGGTAACAAGAGCGTTCTTCTGATTCTCAATAACAATTCGTCCGAGCACATCAACGACAGTGCCCAATATGGATCCTAAGTATCAACGACAACGGTTATTACGTATCACAAACATCAACGACAGTGCCCAATATGGATCCTAAGTAGCAACGACAATGGTTATTAAGTATCACAAACATCAACGACAGTGCCCAATATGGATCCTAAGTAGCAACGACATTGGTTATTAAGTATCACAAACATCAACGACAGTGCTCAATATGGATCCTAAGTATCAACGACAATGGTTATTAAGTATCACAAACATCAACCACAGTGCCAGCTATGGATTCTAAATATTAACAACAGTACACAATACAATATTGATAAAAACATCAACGACAGTGCTAAATATGGATCCTAAACATCAACGACAGTGCTTATTATAGATCACAACCATCAACGACAGTGCTAAATATGGATTCTAAACATCAACGACAGTGCCCAATGGGAATCATAAACATTACCAAGAGGGTCCATTATAGGTCCAGAATATCACCGATCATGAATTATTTTCATTTTAAATTGTTAGTACCGATCAAATTGTTACCATTAACTGTCAACTTGGCATAAAAGGGTCACTTGAAATTACGCTTACAGTCCTTTAAGCTTTTTTTCATAAAATGAAGCTGTCTTTATCCTATATTCTAAAAAAGTGTATATACCTATATTCTAAAAGTGTGTATATATATATTCTAAAAGTGTGGATACCTATATTTTGAAAGTTGAAATGAACATTCTCATATTGAAGAGGAAAGCTGATCCTTGTAATCACTGCATTGTCTTTATCTAAATATAATTCTACATATTATATATTATATCATATACATATCTCCGGGAGGGCTAAATAATAGTAGACCACATTTTGGAAATACCAAGACTAGGGGAATTTTGTGATTATAACACAAGCAGGAAGACGAAGGAATGTCGCAAATTATTTTAAAGATTTTTAAAGACAAAAATTAAAAATCATCTCACTGATCATTCAAAGATCAATATCTTGTCTCCGTGTTTACCTGAACAAGCCTCTACTAGATCAATATAGTGTCTCTGTGTTTACCTGAACAAGCCTCTACTAGATCAATGTCTTGTCTCCGTGTTTACCTGAACAAGCCTCTACTAGATCAATATCTTGTCTCCGTGTTTACCTGAACAAGCCTCTACTAGATCAATGTCTTGTCTCCGTGTTTACCTGAACAAGCCTATACTAGATCAATATCTTGTGTCCATGTTTACCTGAACAAGCCTCTACTAGATCAATATCTTGTCTCCGTGTTTACCTGAACAAGCCTCTACTAGATCAATATCTTGTCTCCGTGTTTACCTGAACAAGCCTCTACTACATCAATATCTTGTCTCCGTGTTTACCTGAACAAGCCTCTACATAGATCAATATCTTGTCTCCGTGTTTACCTGAACAAGCCTCTACTAGATCAATATCTTGTCTCCGCGTTTACCTGAACAAGCCTCTACTAGATCAATATCTTGTCTCCATATTTACCTGAACAAGCCTCTACTAGATCAATATCTTGTCCGTGTTTACCTGAACAAGCCTCTACTAGATCAATATAATGTCTCCGTGTTTACCTGAACAAGCCTCTACTAGATCAATATCTTGTCCGTGTTTACCTGAACAAGGCTCTCTAGATCAATAACTTGTCTCCGTGTTTACCTGAACCAGCCTCTACTAGATCAATATCTTGTCTCCGTGTTTACCTGAACAAGCCTCTACTAGATCAATGTGAAGTTCACAAACAATTCTCACATTCTTCATTGAGATTGAGAACTTCTGAGCTCCCTAAAATATTAATTGTTTGTTTTAATCAGAATGTACGCTCTGTACTTCATGAACCCCCTGTACTTCCTGTGCTCTCTATACTCCCTATACTCTCTGTATTCCCTGTATTCCCTGTACTCCCTGTACTCCCTGTACTCATTTTACTCCCTGTACTCCCTGTACTCCCTGAACTCCCTGTACTCTCTGTACTCTCTGTACAACATGTAATACCTGAGAACTGATGGTAGAAGCTCCGACCCATGACCAGGCTCCACCTCCTTCTCCTTCCATCTTATAGAATCCATCCAACTCAAGCTCTAAACACAACCTGGAGACTAGAGAATTCAAACCTCCTCCTTTATCATTATACTAGCTTTAAAACCCAGTTTCAAATAAAAGCAACCAGAAATTAAAACGTTTTATTGTAACCTTAATAATCCATACAAACAAAGTTATAATTAATTATAACTATAACCTGGAGAACATGAACCTGTCCAGGTAAAAACTGTACCTGGAGTAGTCAAAAAAGCATGAGCTCTTTCAATAGATAAACTTTTATCTCTCTTAAACTGTACATCCATGGAGAACATGATCCTAGCGAGGTATAAACTGTACCTGGAGTAGTGAGGATAGCATGGGTTCTAACAATAGATAAACTTTTATCTCTCTTGAACTGTACATCCATGGAGAACATGATCCTAGCAAGGTATAAACTGTACCTGGAGTAGTGAGGATAGCATGGGTTCTAACAATAGATAAACTTTTATCTCTCTTGAACTGTACATCCATGGAGAACATGATCCTAGCAAGGTATAAACTATACCTGGGGTAGTGAGGATAGCATGGGTTCTAACAATAGATAAACTTTCATCTCTCTTGAACTGTACATTCATGGAGAACATGATCCTAGCGAGGTATAAACTGTACCTGGAGTAGTGAGAATAGCATGGGTTCTAACAATAGATAAACTTTCATCTCTCTTGAACTGTACATCTTGGAGAACTAATCCAGACATGCCTTGAACCCACATATCCCAAAAAGTCAGGTTGACCTAGTAAAATCTATTTTTATATCTGTAAAAAATAAACGAAAAAATGTGCAAAATTTAGGAAATTGTGTACCTGGTAACCTAGAAGTGTTCTGGATAGTTCCACTTTCTCTCCGAGTAGAGGACTCAGCTGAAGCGGTTCAATATTCACTCCGTACAATTCTTTCTCCCTAGTTGTATCGTTGTTGTATTTGTATCTGTATCTGCATCTGTATCTGCATCTGCATCTGCATCTGCATCTGCATCTGCATCTGACCTGTACCTGTACCTGTACCTGTACCTGTACCTGTACCTGTACCTGTACCTGTACCTGTACCCGTACCTGTACCTGCACCTGTACCTGTTAACTGTATTTATAAAATCAGCCCAAACTTGGTTAAGCATTGCCTCCCAAACTCCGTCTCTCCTGAGTTCAGAGGAATAATCATATTCATCCTTCAAACAGTGAGACCCACTAAACTATGGAATAGATTGACGACTATCAGACTATAATCTTTATTAGATGAAATAATATGAATATTAATATGAAGCACAGCAATTGTGCATTGTGCAATGTTTTATTTCACTTATTAAGTTGGTTTTTATGCTGTGGGTAAAACGTTTTGCTTTAAAACGCCTTTAATTATACATAATCTTGCTTAAATGTCGTCTTTCTATTGCACAGTGTTCTAGGCCTCACTGTAGAAACCTCGAGCTCTTTGTCATCCTCAATATCAGCTTCAGCAGATTGTGCTGGGTTGATCACCTGAATTAAACAAAACATTATATTTAACAAGACACAGGGAGCACACCTAATCTCCCACTAGATGGAGTTGATTTATCTGGTTTACCATCCAGTTTTACCGTCTATAGGAAGTTTTACATCACTATAATATATCGTCTTTGTTCCAAGCGTGATTGTTTCGTAAATATGATTTTGTAGTATCGAATTCGCAGTCAAACATTTAACACCGAAAACTACTAGTCCTGGGATTTCCAAAATGTGGGCTTCCATGTTTTCACCTTCAAAATTGACGGAGATATTAGGAAAGTTGTCCAGATTCCAGTTAATTAAAAATCAACAAAACTGTTTAAATGTTTAATATCTCCGTCAATTATAAAGATACAGAGAAGGTATAAGACCACATTTTGAAAAGCACTTTATGTCATTTCTCAATTATGGGAAATCAAAGACGATATTCAAGTCGTCTCTCAATTCCCATGTTTATTGGGACACCCTGTGTAACGGGAAAAAAATTATATTCTGAATCTCTTATTTTTGGCATAAGATACCCAGACAATAAAGGCTCAGAAAGTTGTCACTGAAAGCCGTAATTTGAGATTTTTATAAAAAATATACATAATTTGATAAAAAAAAATGTTCTACGTGTTTTTCCTGTAATGAAAGACATTTTTAAATAAAGTGGAATATAATCCCAAAGGGAAATCCAATTGTGAAAATAACAAGTAAGAAACCTTTTGGTCCCAGATTACCTACAGTGATAACTAGAAAACTCTGAAATAGGAAGACGACTTATAGAATCAACTTTAAACAGTCCAATGAGACGAAGCAATTGTGCAGTATTAATAGACACCTATTACAAAGTTAGTGATTTAAAAAGTGTCTAAGAAATTATTTGCTTTGCTACAACATCAAATACACTTTAGTATTGCTGTAATGTCGTCTCCTTATTCCATTTTTTTCTGGTTATCACTGTACATGTAAGGGCCAAAGATTTCTACCAAATAGAACAAAATTGATCTACGATAAATTCAACTGAAGTAGTTGAAATTGAAGTTTTAAAGCAGAAACTTGAAATCCAGCTTACAGGGACATATTAGTGAGGGTTACTGTGAACCCAACCAAGGGTTCTCAAATTGTTTATAGTACCATACAGTTCATTGCGACCAGCCGTTTGGCCGGCTCTTCGCAACATATATACGAATGTCTTTATCATATAATTTATTATATAATAATTATTATACAATATAATTTTAGAATAAAGTGTTTATCTTACTGTAAAATATGTGCAATTTTATGTGGTCTTCATTTTCTGTTTTTACACTTTGTTATTTCATCTTGGAAACATGTCAGCTAACGTGATAAAATTATTTTTCCCTGTTATATTTGACACTTGTGACGTCGTGTATAATTGGTCCATTTCTCTGTTTTCACCTTAATTGTTCTTGCAAATCTATTTGGGTTTAATTAAGCTTGTAGTACAATTAAATAATCAGTCATGTTATGTTTGAACAATCCTATAAAAATTCAGACTGCAAGGTTTCATTTTTCCAATAGGACTGTACGACTGCTAGCGGGCCTTTTTTATTATGGTATTGAAAACATAAACAAAGTTTTCACATAAGCATCACTTTTTATAACTTAATATTTAATTTTTTAACAAAAAAGTGACAAAAATATCACTATGTTTTTGGATAGATACAGATGGCGCAAAGTAACTGAGTTTCTGCCACAAATAATGATTTTCTAATTCTTACCCTTGCATCCTGATGGTTGTAGACTTAATACTTTTTGATCTAATCTAACAGATTTAATAGCAATCAAAGCTCTACGACATCAAATTGCAAAGATAGAGGGATTAGAAAATTTGAGTTTATTATTATATATTATTTATATTTCATTTAGTAAGGACAATATTTTCGTTTACTTTGTCTATACACTTACCATCGTAACCATAAAACTGTGGAAGGAAGACGACCGTTAGACTCAAGTTTTAATTTTAAGTAGTCCAATAAACATGGAAACAATTGTAGGGTTCTTAGAATTGTAAATAAGTTGATTTTTAAGCTAATGGTAAAACTATTTGCGTTAAAACAACTAAAATATATGATTGCTTAAATGTCGTCTTCCTTTTCCACAGTTCTATGAATCCCACTTTATAGTTTAAAGATTAAAATTACTTAAAGAATATTTATTTTTACCAGTAAATGAAGTAGAAGGCAAAACAGAAACATTATCCCTCCTCAATATTCAGTTTATAAATGATGGTTGACAATAACTCTTTTCAGGTCATTCCTGCATACACTATACAGATTTTGAAATAAGAATCATAAACTATCACAAAGGAAATAATGACTCGCTACAAACTCTAATCTAGACATATACTTTGGCGTGTATTTCTGACTGTTTGTTTGTTTGTGACCGATAAACGTTAAAACTGCTGAACCGATCGGGTTCAAATTTTGATTGGGACCTTACATAACCCCAGGGAAGGTTTATGGAACATCAAAATCGGAAGGAAAAAAATCCTGGAAAATATGTTCTTTTATCGACAAGAAAAATCCGCTAACATTTTTAAATGATTTAAAATGGCCCAGAGCAACAGTTAAAAGCTAAAATTATTTCCTGTAAGCGCCCTAAAAGCCTGAATTTATAAATTCATTAAATCCTGTCCCTGATATGGGTGTAAACCTTTTATATTTCAAACTTTTGGACTATTTGATCTCACAGAACCATAGTTTGATATTTCTATGACTTCGGGTTGCATTAGAAAGTTAGAGTTTGTGGCGAGTGCTGACTTTTTATCTAAAAATGTACAAACCTTTTTGTACAAATTGTGCAATTATACACATCACAATACCAAATATATTAATTTAAAACATTTTCAGAAACTCACTTTGTAATAGATTATGTTTTTGACTGTTTTCAGAAAATGCATTTAAATACGCAACGAATTTTTAAATCATAGATGAGCGAGTAAATTGTAATTATTTCTCACTTACACTTTTTAACAACGTAAATTAAAATGCCCCATTACCCCCTTCAAAATAAAATCTCCTTTGCCCTGATTTCTACCCTTTATAAATATCAAAATTTTGGAAAGGTCAAGGAATTCTATGTTTATAAATCTGCCTGTATAAAGTTAATGTGTATATGTTAAATAATATGTTTATACTGAATCTGTAAGATCCCTGTGAAGAGCCCTCCGGCGTAAATTGTTTTGCCAGGTGAGCATGAGAGGAATAAGATTTGGGTGAGAAACATAGAGAATAGAATACATAGAGAGGAATTTACTAGAAAAAAGTGTAAAACGGCCATTTTGGTGTACTGTTTCCATACTGCAGGTATACTTCACAGATTTATAGAAAATCTAAAATTATTGTTAAAAGAAAACCAAATTATGAAATAGGCTTGTTTCTTAATTGACCAATGATCATTTCACATAGACTCTATGCCTTCCACTTTACAAACGATGATATTCCGTTATAACTATAAATCAAATGATTTTTTTATTCACCTAATTTATTATAAAGTTTATTTAACAGTTTAAAAAATTCGAAATTGAAATGGGTAGTCTAGGGAACATACTGTATTAATGTACTCAACTGCACATAATTTTTGAACATTTACATGATTTGTACACTTTCAGTCCCTTTCAGGCTGAAAGGGACTGAAAAAGTTCATACCGAGAGATTCTGTTAATTCCTCTCTAATATATATTCTATTCTCTATGGTGAGAAAGCTGAATTAAGAGAAGGGAACTTTTAAATCAAAGGAAAAAACGAAAATGGGTTCAGAAACTATCGTTTAATTTACATTCCCATTCCTCATTGTTTATACCAATAAACTTTTTAAACCCGACTTAATTTCTTCATTTTTAATCAAAAGTAACAAACTCTATGCAGGAAACTAAAGACTGAAAGTAGACGAAATCTTGAACAGCAGATACTATTTGGTTAAAGAAATAATTGATGACCAGAAAATTGATAAAATAAATGAAATAAAAAATAAAAAATAAATTAATAAAGTACGTATATGGATTCTAATCTACAGAAGACAGAAGAATATATAAAAATAAGCCCAGGACTAGGATACAATAATAGAAAACTAGCAAAATTGGTCGATTTTACAGGGAAACTATGTAAATGTTCGCTGTTAAGGTCGACCCACTAAACTTAAAATCTTAATACCAAGCTAAGAACATTCCCCAGTACAAATTTGAGGCAAATCGGTCCAGGGGTTCCTGTGGTATGATCAGACAAACAAACAGACAAACAGAGATTACAACTTTATCTTTATAGATAAAGGATTAACCACAAATAGAGGGAAACATTGGGATTAGGGCTGGGAGTGTTCCTACTGTTTAAAAATTGTTTATAGTTCCGTTTCCGTGTCTTATAATTTGTCCTGCTATTTTTATATAATATAATCGTTACCCATTCACGATTTCTAAAATATCTTCCATTAATGCTGTACATAAAATTAAGATTGATTACGGACGTAATTAACTTGAAAAAGAAATGAAAATATATTGTTTTAAGGAACGAAACGTTCAGTTCTTAGCTAAGAACTAACGGCTAACTATAATTGTTGGTCCGTTCTGTTTTTAAACTAACGGATTTTGAGGTTTTGCACCCTGCAAGCTGAATGTCTCACACAGTTTACGAGTACAATGCTCTGAAGGTTATACTCGGAGCAAGGATTATCTAATATGTGGATATGAAACCAGGTAAAAACCTCCTGCCTAAATTACTTTTAGCCGACATCTCTTATTCGGTATTTTCTGAAAATATGAATAGAGAGACATCTTGTTTGCTTCCTATCTCCTCCTACTGCCATGTCTGTAGGAAATACGCAAATTCTCTACTTCCAGTGTTGCTATCGGAGTCTTGTTGATCAAAAATAAATTGTTAAGTAGGCACGAAGGCATTTTCCATGCATGTATATTGTAGCATCCATTGTTGCTTTTAGTAACCATTTAAATTATTGATTATTTTCAACAAAAAAAAAACAGAAGAAATATTATTTTTATTAAAAACATGCATGTACTGCATTGATTAACCGAATTCATTAGGTTATTTAAGGTTAAGTACAATTTTTTACCATATACTAATATTACCAGTGAAAGAGAGAAAAAGGAGAGATATCTGATTTTAAAAACTGATTTAAATTAAGTTCATTTATTTAAAAGTTTCTAGCTCATTTAAAAAATAATAAATCAACTTTTGTTTTTGTTTGAACAATAAAAAATCAATATTTCGCATGTATATTTTTTTTATAGATGTTCTCTGCTAAATATTTTAATTTTGATATTGGATCATGATTTGTTTATTGTATTTAATATGTGATTTAATGAGTTCTGGGAACAAAAAGTTTACATTTTAAACATTTCATCAATAATTATGAATAGAGAGAGTTGAGAGTTATAACTTGATGTCTTTGAACTGGAATATTCTCCTAGATACACTTCTCAACATTAACTTTATCTCCTGCCGGGGAAGGGGTGATTAGTACCATATACTCGAAAAATATTTTCTCCCATTAAAGGGTGTGTAAACATAATTTCAAGTGACCTTCCGATTTAAGAGGGGCATTCGCCAACTCACATCGGTTCCCTTTAAACCTTTAAGTGATCAAGGATGTCAAACATATCCATTATCCATATTAATCTACTTAAAACGATTTACATTTTAAATACTTTGTTTGCTAGCTGTTGTATATTTAAGAAATATCAATAGTTACTTTCTAGAAGTCACAGAAAACATAAATTTACTATTAAATGTTTGAAACCCGCTTTTAACGTGATACAGACGATATTTTCAATGGACGCAAGTAATTAACGGATCAGTTCACACTGTACACAGCGTACAAGGGTTTTTTGGAACAATTTAACAGATTTACATGCAGCGCTCTCTCTGCTCGATGAATAGTTACAGGTTTAAAATTCACACTATACACAACGTACACCGAGTTTTTTAAACAATTTAACAGATTTACATGTTAAAGTTAAAGGTTTAAAGGGTACCGTTGTAAATCAAGCAATACCCTCACCCTGGGTTACTTGAAATTATATACTTACCGTCCTTTTAAAATAATTTATGTTCATGGAAAAAATTGTATTTCAACAATGCCCATTGAATTTACGCTTAAAAACGGCTTGATATTTAAGTTTTCAATAGTCCGTCAGACATATTTTTTTAGTAAATTGCAATCCTTCAAAACGCAAAAAAAAACACTTTAAATGAAGTAAAATTACATTAAAAGGATAAAGTTAAACCCTGGATTTCTAATTGTTAAGTTGACAAAGGTTCCTCAGGTGGACAAATAGTCTGCAGGTATTCTGTTATAGCAAGCCTTTTTACATTTATACAGGCAGCAGGCAGGCTCCATTCAGGCAGTAGTAGGCATAGAGAGAATAGCAGGCAGACCAAACTACCTAGGCTACAGGGACAGTTATTAAATTATGATCTTAAATGACGAAAATTAAAGTCTTCTTTTGGAATAAATGTCCCTTAATATATATTTTTCGCGGGTTATTATATATAATATCAAATAAATTCCCTGAACTATATATACCAGGGCGAGATGCAATCGATTTCTCTTTTTTGGTCTATAATTTTATAGGTTAAATGGGGATCGAAAGTTACAGATTACTGGGATAAGGACTGAACTGTTAAATCCGCGTGCAAAGCAAATCATACTTTGCAGGGATGGCTGCCCTCCTTTGTAAGGGAAAGAGGCTCAAATGTATTCCATACTCCTGGTTTTCAGCCCAATTTTTAGCATGTTAAGAAAGTTTGATTTTGTTATCCCGTAGGTCCTTTGATAAGACGCGCGAAATAACAAAAAAAAATAGAAGTTTGGACAATTCAGCTTGTAAAAATCACAAACAAATAAACAAACAAAACCGGCAGTATTCAATTTATAAAACAAATTTTATCAGCAAAATTTTTAGGTATTCGCACGACTAGTTTTGCCTTAGATGACGACATTAAACGGTCTTCGATTTATCCAATTTGCACTTCATATAACAAATAATCTAATCTAGTGCTGAGAGGTACGAGTATTGAAAAATACTGAAGAAATAATTTATCTAAATGTTAATGCGTTTATAAAATAACTTAATTATGACTTCATCAATACAAGTGAAAGTTTTTAAATGTATAGGAAAAAGAACAGGTTCCTTTACTAAATAAAGATAATATTGTAAATAAAAGTATAAGATTTAAAATTGGTGCTTTAAAATAGAAAAAAAATTTAATTGGTTACAATTTTAGTTCCTGAATTTTTATCTAAGTTATTGAATAAACGAATGAATAAAATTCTAATTTTTTACCAAAATATTGTCAGTACAATAGCACCAACTAACGACACCATACAGAACTGGTTCAGCTTGTCTTCCATGTACAAGGGTAGACTAATAAAATAAATAATCAAAATTCTAAAAAAAAATAATAAAAAACGTCAATTTTATTGTAATTATAAGCTTACTTGTGATCAACGTTTGTTGAGAACTTTTCTGTAACCTTTGTAAAGAGAAGTACTGCCAAAATAAAAGAAGCTAGAAAGGAAACGCTGAAAAAAATAAAAGTAAAAAACCGGAAAATGGGCTTCACAAATACGTTTATATTAAAAGTTGACACAAATTTAAATGTTTAACCATACTTGCCTGTCAATTACAAGGGAGAGTGACAGTAGGGGTTTGTTTAAGAGGCTGTTAACCGGCTGAACCATTTTGATTTTAGGAAGAAAAAAATCAGAATTGCGGATTTTTCTCCAAATGTTGACGCATTTTCATGGTTTCATGCCCAAACAAAAACAGATTTCCATAAAACCTTTTTTAGCAGAAATCACAACTCAAGGATCAGAAATATTTTAGTTATTATTATTTGTTGGCTGCACGGCAACTTTCAAATACTTGAGTTTCGTTTGGTGCATCTTAAAGTCACACTTTTTTTAAATCGAATTCTTTTAATGCAAATACCATCATGTATAATAAACCATTACTTCACCGTTCATAAAAATGAAAACTCTTATAAACAATACAAGAAAACATAAATATTTTAATAAAAAAAAGATCTGCTAATTTGATTAAATTTCAATTTTTCTTTTTTTATTATGTTATTTTAACAAACATTTATCATATCAATTATTTCAATTTTAAACTCCTCCTCCGCTCTGAAAAAAAAATGTTTTGTAATCAATTTTAATTGTATAACTAAAATTTATTATATTTAATATTTATTTTTCATATCAATAATGATATTAAATCATTTAAAAACAGTTAATATTTACTTGATTATATCTATATAATAAAACAAGACATTCGTATATATATATATGTTGCCTAAAGCCGCGCCGGCCTAAAGGCTGGACCGATTGGGCTGAATTTTTTTCTGGACACTCAGGGGTGGCCGCCGGCCGGGTATTTTAATAGGATACAAAAAATTTGAATTTTTTCACGGGCCTTTCAGCTTGTTTTAAATAAAAACTTACTTGGAATCAGGTAATATAGGGTCGGGATCCTAAAAAATATAAATTAAAAGATTTTTCCATCGTTGGAATTTTTTTTTTAAAGATTTGATTTTTTACCTTGATGTCCGGTTCTTCTTTGACATCGTGTACCTTTCTCCAGTGCTTGTTGAGCATTGGCCGACTTCTACGAAATTGTTTTTTTATTTCTCCACTTTTCTAAATTTAATTTATCCATTGCCAGTTTTCCAAAAAAAAAATTCACTTCAGACAATCTTATTTAACCAATATCTCAGGAAAGGGCCCATATTCGAAATTTCTTATTTTTTCAAAAAATATTAGTTCACAAAATTACACTACAGTTGAACCCTAAATAAGCCATACATCGAAAGAAATTATCACATGTTGTATTCTTCACTTTCTGATAATGGAATGTTGCAGAAAGTTTTTTAATTAAATGATTATATGGAGCTCTTTAAAACTGTTCCCGGATATTCATGGATATTTATTTATTTCCGCAAATACTGACATCTATGTAATATAGTATAAAATCCATTGAAAAATTGTCAAGACGACATTTGATAAATTCTTTAGATGCATGGCTCATTTAGGGTTTAAAATACATATTTAAAATAAAAAGACTTGTCCCCCGAAGTCCTTAACAGTTGTCTCTATATAATTCCCGAAATAGCAAATTTTCTCGATCCCAAAAATATTATTGCCAACTTTAACATATTTTTACCCAAAATGAATAAAAGATGACCCTACGGCCCACTGTGTTTTATTTTTGACATTTGTTTTGCCCCCAGGCCCCAACTCCTAAAGAAAACTCAAATTCCACTACAACAATTTTCAATAAAAGCTCAGATTCTTTTAATTTTTGTCCCCCAATCTTTAAAAATGCCCCCAAACTATTTTTTTAGATAATGCCCCAAAATTAAGAAGTTTTGCCACAAACCAATTTAAAAAGAAATGTCCTACATATATTTTGAAAATGCCTCTCTTTTATGCTTTATTTCATATCATGAATTTCCATAAGGAGAGGGGAGGGGGGCATCCACCCCTGAATTTTAATCTGCATAAAGTAGTAATTTTTATTTCGATGTCTATTCCTTTGTATGTCCGATCATAAACCATGCGAACTGATTTGCCTCAAATTTTGATTGGGAAACTCGATAAAACAACAGGAATGTTGATAGTTTGATATTTTTAACAATTTGTGAGTTACGTTTCCAAGCAAAATTGGGTTCAGAGGCTAGTCTTAATATTTCTCCATGTACTGTTTCCTACTACCATATTCCCTACTACCTGTTTTCCCTACTACCTGTTTTCTCTACTACCTGTTTTCCCTACTACCTGTTTTCTCTACTATCTGTTTTCAATACTATCCGTGTTTCCTACTTCATGTGTTCCTTACTACCTGTGTTCTCTAATACGAGTGTAACAAGCTACCAGTGTTCCCTACTTTCATTGTTCCCTACTTCCAGTGTTCCCTACTTTCATTGTTCCCTGCTTCCAGTGGTCCCTACTTCAAGTGTTCCCTACTTCCAATGTTCCCTACTTCCTGTGTTCCCTACTACCTGAAAGTTGAAGAGCAGGAAATGCATGAATAAGGTTTCTCCTGAGTATGAATTCTAGTATGGTGGACTAGTGTGGCCTTGTACCCAAATCTATAAAGAAAAAATTTATGATTTTCTTCCGGCATTGTAAGACAAAATAAAAAAGTATATAAAAAAGCTATTTTACATACCATAAGATAAAGAAAAAATATTAAAAATATTAAAAAAAGGGAAGAATCAAGGAAAACTTTGTTATACTATCACTTCCTAAACTCAATTTTAGCTCTCGGGATCGATTTCCAAATGGGGTTTATCCTTTATTTAAAAATGACTGCTATATATTGAGAAATGTGCTCAGCTTCTAATATGTTAAAAGAACAAAAATTCAAATGCTTAAAATCTCCGTCAATTAAAAACTTATCAACTGTCGGAAAACAAAGACGATTTTATCATGGACTCTTAATTCCCATGTTTAATGGGACGCCCTGAATCTAGACTGATTGGGAAAAAATAACAAGGACAGGCCAGGAGGCGGGGGGGGGATATAGAATGGAATCATTCAGAGGAAAATTCTTTTTTTAAGATACCTCCTGGGACAATATGTACACTGGAACTCAAGTTGTCCACTGCAAACCTTGCTGTGTACAATCAAGTATTCATTTGTTGAAAATACTTTTCCGCAAACCTCACAGGGATTACTCGTTTTCCCCTGAATTTGAAAAAGATTATAAATGCCTGCTAATTAGATGGGAATTTTCAGTTATCATATCCCAAGGAGTAATATATACTGTAGCAGGGGTGTATATTTTCATGAAAAATCGATATTCCCCCTACTGAAAATCATTTTCCCCTGAAGTTAGGTATGTTAATAAAATGGAGGGAAAAATTTCGGGTAAAAAGTATGAAAAGGAATAAAAAAGCCTGCTTTTGTATGTCCAATTTTCATTTACCCCCGGGGGGGGGGGAATTCTTAAAAATGTACACCCCTTCTTACGAAAATATTCTATCTGTTGCGTCTAACCTCAACTAAGCTTTCGGTGCGTTCTGCAGTAACTTGCAGTACACTTACCGAAAATATATTAGGAATTAGCGCCCGGAGTTATCAAGTTATCATCAGATTTGATATAATATACAGGGTGTCCCAAAAAACATGGGAATTTGCAGTGACGAATTCGATATCGTCTTTGTTATGAATTAGCATTGTAATACCTAATTTCAAAAGCCATAATATTATCATGTCTGCTAGAGTTTATTTAATGAAAAGGGTAAAAGACTGCAAAGATGTGTCTATAATGTCTCCGCAAGATGAACAGTGAAGACTGACAAGTTTATTCTGTTTGTATACTGCAATTTCTTGTTTTACTAAGTACAACCGTATACAGTCAAAACATAAACAAACAAAATGTGAACATAGCAGACGAAACTCTTACAGATTACAGCTTTCTCAGTAGGAATCACTATACTTAATCAAAGAATTATTTAAAAAGACGATATCGAATTCGTAACTGAATTCCCATGTTTATTGGGACACCCTGTATATAAATAAATTACAAAGTGTAAATTATAATTAGATTTGATATTATATATATAAATAAATTACCAAGTGTATATCTAAATGTCGAGCAAACAATGCTTTCCGTTTACTAAAACCCATCATAACATTAGTATCAAATTAAATCATAAGTTTAAAAGTTTACAGCTGAGTTTTCTGGAGCGGGACTATTGACCTCATTTGAAGGATTATTATTATTATCATTATAACAGTGACCCCAAGTACATTAAAAAGAGGGGCATGCCTGATTGACAACGATACCCTTTAAACCCTGAGAATGAGGAAGATATCGCTTGGAAAAGCGTAAAATAATTTGTATCCGACACTTCTTAGAAAAAAACTGGAAATTTCAGACAATATCACAAAAATACGTTTAATATTGGGCATGTTCCTATTTTACGTTGCCAGTCTCGTAGAATGGAACTAGCACTTTTATTCTCGAATGTTTAGAAAGTTTAAAATGAAGATTTACTCCACTCTGGACGCAATCTTATTAAAATTATAAATTTAATTAGCGAAATAAAAGGACAGAACTGGGAACTTTATACTTGGATACCTTTAATCCAGATTGCTTAGTCATACTGTGGACACTTTAAATTTCCCATGCTTAATCCGCATATTTAATCTCTTTTCTCTCCCTGACAGTTTCCGACCAATGAGACTTAATTCATAAAATGGCGCGCAAACTTTTTAATTTCCTGGCTTCTCTGATTGGCTAATCCGGTTTCTCTTGACGCTTCCCGATTGTTTGATTTATATACACTTTTGTTTTACAAATTTAAGATTAAATTAATCTTGAGAAGAGGAGATCAAGCATTGATATCGATATCCACAGTTTAATAGTTTTCAGCTCAGTTCACTTTATTTTACAAATGCTAATGATGGCTTCCTTGGATAACGTTTACTGCAGTATTCACACTCTAGATAGGGTTTTTTTAGGTGTAGTAGATCATTCTTCTCATGTCTCGCCAAGCTTAACAAATTTAACTTATATAAAATCTTAACTTTATTTCTGGGGAATCTTTACTTATATTGTACCATGTACGATTCACACCAGTGTCATTAGAAAGTAGAAACTTAGGAAAATTTACGAATTAATGTCTAAAAAAACTGAGTGCGCAAATTGTTACTTTTCTGTATCTTAACTTTAACGCGTCGAATGCTGGCAATTACCTTTACTGTTTTAGTAGCTTAGATCGGCAAGTCACATATACAAAGAAACGACAATTAGAAAATCAAATTTATCCCTATGACTTGAATTTACATCTCTAGTCCCTTTATTACTAAACATATCTCTGTTTAGAGTAAAGAATACAAATTGGATAATTCATTTTATGTTTTTTGAAAATATGAAAAACTTAAGGATTCTATATTGAATAAAAACAAGATTATAAAAATATAATTTTTCAACATTTGTGAAATATTATTTTGTCTATTTTGACTTCTTACAGCCCTGAAATGGGCGTAAGAAATGATATGTAAATTGAAATTAGGTTTAGTGGATTTCTTAGCAATTGAGCTCAGAAAACTAATTCGGGAAATAAGCTCTTAAGGGCTTAGAAATAAAGCTTAACCCTTTTTTAAATTTTTTTTACCTCTGTAAAAAGCAAATCTTTTTGAAATTAAAAAGTTAACCAAAAAGTTATCCAATTTGTGCTCTTTACTCTACGTACCTAAAAGCTGTTTTGAATTTTTTATCACATCTTGAGCAGGAGAAGGGAAGGTCGGAGGAGTGCTTTTGTCGAATATGTCGAGTTAGTTCAATCCTACAACAATTCTTTAATTATCCCGTGATTGGGGTTAGGATTTACTTGATTTGAGGCGGATCTGGGATCCGTGCAGAGTAGAGATGGGTATCATATTTGTGAACGAACTAAATTTTTCATAACAAACGATATTTATACGAAAAAAACGTTTTTTATTTTTTTAAAGAACGATTTTACAGAACGAACGATTTAATTCAACGATCTTTCATTTAGGAAACGAACGAAATAGATGGAAAACAAAATGGGTTGTTAACGAAATATGAACTTTTCTGTTGTGAATTTTGGATTAAGCATTGATTTTCATTAAGTGACTTGTGAAAACATTTATAAATCAATCAAAAAATCAAAGTCTTAATAAATCGTAAAAAAAATCCTACTTTTGCTTGAAGGAGTTCCCACATTGATCGCAGCTGAATCTAAATTAAATCTTTTTTTTTAGAATATGAGCTACAGGACAAAAAAAAAGTATTTTTTTAAATATCAATCAATAGTCCTTAGAATTATAAAATCAGAAAACCAGCTGAAATACTTTTTCTTTATTGCAAAAACAATATAATATCCAAAATACAATAAATTACAACATTATTACAAAAAACAATACAATATTGAACTAGTGGACAAAGATTATTATTATCAAGCATATTCTATATACAGGAACGCCCAACTCAGATATACACTTAAATTGTGTACTGTACTCTGTGGGAGGAATGTAAACAAACCCAGTGCCCCCACAGAAGTTGAAGGGAAAGGACTAAAGCTCTAATGTGATGTTACAGTCCATGTTAATGTATCATTTTTAACTTTCTGGTCAATATGGAAAATACAATAGCAATATCTTCTTTTTCCAACCCTTAGGCCCTTCTCTCTCAAAAATGATGCGTTGCCCCTGAATTCTTTGTTTTGATCTCCTCCCACTGCAGTACACAGATTTGACGCATCAGATATGACGGTTCCGGGTCTATAGATTTCTTGATTATTATTATTAAAGACAATGAAAGAAATGTAATTAATTTCTAACATGAAAATAATCTTTATTATATCATATCTGTTCGGTTCCATAGTAGTAAAGCTATCGTGTAAGAATTCCCCTTATTACACGGTTCAGGAGGAACAATATTAATATTGTTCCCTTCCTAGCGTTTAAGAATGCTTATTCTTACACTGTAGGTGTAGTATTTTCATTCTTTAACGCTCAGACCATGTAAGAATGGAAATTATTACACGGTCAGAGCGTGAAAGAATGTATATTCTTACACGCTCCGAGCATTAAAGAATGGAAATTCTTACACTAGTTTAAGAATATTCATTCTTACACGCTCCTTATATTGATCTTTTCAATATAGATCAATATTGATATTAACTTAATTATTTTGTACTGACAACATGCACAGGGCAAACTCACCTTTTTCTTTTACATTAATACATGCAAACTTACCTTTTTTAACTTAAAAACAACATGCTCACTTACCTTTTTCTTTTACATTAATACATGCAAACTTACCTTTTTTAACTTAAAAACAACATGCTCACTTACCTTTTTCTTTAATATTAAAACATGCAAACTTACCTTTTCATGCTCACTTTTCCGTTTTTTGAAGTATTAATATACCTTAATTCAGAAATATCAATTTGAATCTCAACCCTAGTTCTGACAGAAGAGTGGAAATTAACTATTTTCTGGCCATTCCCAAATATATTGACGATGCCTTTAGCCTTACATTAGACACTTTCATCAAACTGCCGAGTCTTAAAGCATACTGCCCGACTCGCCCGACTGCCTACTTTATAATTTTTTTTTAGTTCATCTTCATTTCAAACCAAGTTTGGTGAGATTTTGCAAATCTCTGCATACTTGTAATAGTATGGTCAGAGCTTTTCAGTCTGAGTCACAATATCTCGCTTAGTTCGAGATGATGAAGTGAAACCACAATCAAAACCAAAAAAAAGTATAAAAACTTATCATTGAAATATTAGTGTCACACTTTTAATGGAGTCTTAGCACTCCATAGCAATGAAAACAAACCAGTAAATCTTGCTTCATGAATAAAAGACAAAGATCTTCATCAGTTTAGGTCGAACTGATTCTTACTAGATAACCTGCTTTTATCTCCTCTTTTTGGAAGATTTAGGATCTAATATCCAGAAAATGATTTCTTCTACAGGGTGTCCCAAAAAACATGGGAATTCAGTGACGAATTTGATATCGTCTTTGTTATGAATTAGCATTGTAATACCTAATTTCAAAAGCCATAATATTATGATGCCTGCTAGAGCTTATTTTATGAAAAGGGTAAAAGACTGTAAAGATGTGTCTATAATGTCTCCGCAAGATGAACAGTGAAGACGGACAAGTTTACTCTGTTTGTATACTGCAATTTTCTTGTTTTACTAAGTACAACCGTATGCAGTCAAAACATAAACAAACAAATGTGAACATAGCAGACGAAACTCTTACATATTACAGCTTTCTCTGTAGGTATCACTATACTAAATCAAAGAATTATTTGAAAAGACGATATCGAATTCGTCACTGAATTCCCATGTTTTTTGGGACAACCTGTATAAATGAAGACAGGATATTGTTCAGTAGATTAAGACAACCCACTACTATACCTTCTCTCCATTTAAAAAACTCAGGGCACATTTAACATGCTGTATCTAAATGTAGTATCAACTTAAAAAACGAGCAAAATCATTGGTACACAAACAAACTAAACTAAGGAAACAACCACGACACATGCATTACTTTCAAATTAAGAACCAATTTTTACTTCTAAAATGTTTTTTTTTAACATTTTAACATTAGAAAAATAAAAAACAGTGTTAGTCAGAACAAGAGCATAAAACTTATTTGCAACCTTTCATAATGTGGACTCTTCCAACTTGAAATCGTCAGTTTTCACCAGAATTATTTTTTGATATAATTTCTTGGGTATGTGCCCATGGAACCTCACAAATATGATATAATAATAATCTTATGAGGATAAAAATGTAATAATGGTATTCTTAAACTCGATGAAATAATCTTGATGTATTCTTTAACTCAGGCCTGCGGCCTTCGTTAAAGAATACATCAAGATTATTTCATCTCGTTTAAGAATTTCCATTATTACATTTTTTTCCTCATAAGATTATCATATTAGCATGGGTTAAAAGAACACAAAGAATGAGACTAGGAAGATGACTGTAAGATTTCTTACATTTAAGGTTCCATTCAGCAATTCAGTAGTAAACTTTTTTCCCCTGGCCGTTGACTGCTCAAAATTAAAATAATTTTTACCTTTCTTTACCCTTCCCTACCCTTTGCATTAAAATAGCCATAAAAGTAAAAAAATTTACAGGTGATAGTGTCAAAAATTAGAGTGCCCAGGCAAAAGAACTAAAGGTTAGTACCTGAAGCAATGTCCTGTCCTTTTAAAGTGTTCATTCTTCAAAGCCTTGGTCTTAAATTTTGCCAGACATACAGGACACTTGGATCTCCTTTAACAAATAATTTCATGATTAAATTGCTTAATTGTCAGGCAAACAAGACACTTGGATCTCCTTTAACAAATGATTTCATGATTAAATTGATTAATTGTCAGGCAAACAAGACACTTGGATCTCCTTTAACAAATGATTTCTTAATTGTCAGGCAAACAAGACACTTGGATCTCCTTTAACAAATGATTTCATGATTAAATTGACTAATTGCCAGGCAAACAGTACACTTGGATCTCCTTTAACAAATAATTTCATGATTAAATTGATTAATTGTCAGGCAAACAAGACACTTGGATCTACTTTAACAAATGATTTCATGATTAAATTGATTAATTGCCAGGCAAACAGGACACTGAGATCTCCTTTAACAAATGATTTCATGATTAAATTGATTAATTGCCATACAAACAGGGCCCTGGGATCTACTTTAACAAATGATTTCATGATTAAATTGATAAATTGTCAGGCAAACAGGGCCCTGGGATCTACTTTATCAAATGATTTCATGATTAAATTGATTAATTGCCAGGCAAACAGGGCACTGGGATCTCCTTTAACAAATAATTTTATGATTAAATTGATTAATTGCCAGGCAAACAGGGCCCTGGGATCTACTTTAACAAATGAGTTCATGATTAAATTGATTAATTGCCATACAAACAGGGCCCTGGGATCTACTTTAACAGATGATTTCATGATTAAATTGATAAATTACCAGGCAAACAGGGCAATGAGATCTACTTTAACAAATGATTTCATGATTAAATTGATTAATTGCCAGGCAAACAGGGCACTGGGATCTCCTTTAACAAATAATTTCATGATTAAATTGATTAATTGCCAGACAAACAGGGCCCTGGGATCTACAAACAAATGATTTTATAATTAAATAGTTTCTTTGTCAGGCAAACAGGGATCTCCTTGAAATTGATTTAATGATTAATTGAATTAAATGGGTTTGGTGAGAGGTTATTTTTTAAGAGGGGAATCCAAGTCATTCCTCATATAGTTAATAGTATGAAACAAGAAACAGAAATAACGGGAATAGGATTGGTACATATGATCATGTCTGACAGCTATTCTTATTTTCTACTTTAAAAAAAATATTTCTTAAAATTGAAAAAAGAATTGGGGCCGGGGAGGATAATATATTTGACATCAACTGGCAGCCCCCCCCCCCTCTCATTTGTCTTTTTACCTCGAAATTGATCATTTAGAAATGATTAATTCATCAATTGATTGATTGAATGTTGATTGATTAATAGATTAATTGAATAAAATATTGTAAAAATTTGATTTTTTAACAGCTAACTTTTTAAACCACCTTTAATGGCCAGTTGCCACAGTCATCATGATACTTGGTATACTTGGAGAGTAGTTGGTATACTTGGTATACTTGGAGAGTAGTTAGTATACTTGGAGAGTAGAGGGTATACTTGGAGAGTAGTTGGTATACTTGGAGAGTAGTTGGTATACTTGGTATACTTGGAGAGTAGTTAGTATACTTGGAGGGTAGTTGGTATACTTGGAGAGTAGTTGGCATACTTGATATACTTGGTATACTTAGTATACTTGGTATACTTAGTATACTTGGTATATTTGGTATACTTGGTATACTTGGTATACTTGGTATACTTGGTTGGTATACTTGGTATACTTGGTTGGTATACTTGGTATACTTGGTATACTTGGTTGGTATACTTGGTATACTTGGTTGGTATACTTGGTATACATGGTATACTTTGCATACTTGGTATACTTTGCATACTTGGTACACTTGGTATACATGGTATACTTTGCATACTTGGTATACTTTGCATACTTGGTATACTTGGAGTTGGAGAGTTGTTGGTGTATTAAGAATTTTAGGGGCATTTAGCAACATCTTCCCGCACTCTATTGATTGAGTGATTGATTGATTGATTGATTGATTGATTGATTGATTGATGATTAAATCCTAATTCATTTAAAAATATGCCTGACCTGATCCTGCATTGATTCTGCTTCAGTATTTTCCCTGAATAATATTTAAATATTAGATTAATTATAGTTCAAATTTTACATCTCCCCCCCTCCCCCCATTTAAAGCGACTTTCGACGTCATAACAATCAACTCTCTAATGAAAGATCAACATGCCTGATCCACAACGATGCCCTAAACCATTGATCTTGGTAGCAAAGATTAAAATATCACCGTTTAAACAGAGAAACCGTTGGAAAATTGTCATTTGATGTTTATCGAACAGGTAACTCTGTGAATGGAGGTGAATACAAATTACGTCGACGGAAAGGGGAAAAGGGACGAAAATGGTTAAAGAATGTGAGGAAGAGGTTCCATAAGAATTATAGTTTTGTTTGAAAAAAACTTTAGTTCGGTCCCTTGACATGTTGATTCACACTAGACTTGTGGCATTAATCAACTGTTACATTAATTTCCGTCTTTTGGTGGATATTTTTAAAGTGAACTCAGCCCTGATTTCCCACGGAATGATGGTTGATCTTTAATCTATTTCTGCGAGAAAATAATTTATTAAAGGAGGAACAGTTTTGATTTTTACTGAAAAGTTTAAAGAAATATTCTATTTTGGCCATGTTTTCCAGACACTTCAGCTTGATTGGCAACTGCTTGGTTGATTGATTGATTGATTGATTTATTGATTGAATGACGTTTTTTTCTCTTATGCATCTAATAAAATGTTAGGAGCATCTTAAATATGATTGGCTAAGGTATACATTATACAAGTTTTGCTTATGGGTCAAGAACAAAAAGAAGTAACATATTATACAAGTTAACGTAGATTATCTTTAACTATTTTTATTTAAAACTTGGAAAATTCTGTAGTTCCGTTTCTAAAAATCTCTTGTCAGTTTAGTTTAAATTCTAAATTCCAAATGGAAAAGCAAAAATGCGGAAGGTCTCGTATACCTGACTTTACTTTTCCCTTTTCAGTTTCATTTTCTGCATCTGAAGAAACTTGTTGAAGCGAATCAGGGACATCAACATCATAGTCAGGATCTTCATTGAGGTCGTCCACCGTCTTATCAAGATCCCTCTGAAGGTCGTCCTCCGTCTTATCAAGATCCATCTGGAGGTCGTCCTTTGTCCTATCCAGATTCTTTTGGAGGTCTTCTTTAGTCTTATCCAGATCCTTGATGAGGTTGTCCTCCATTCTATCCAAATCCTTCTGGAAATTGTCCTTCGTTTTATCTAGATCCTTTTGAATGCCGTCTATCATCTTGTCCATATCCTCATGGAGATCAAACTCTGTATCTTTTATCTGTAAAAAAAAGGGTTACGAGAATAATGACAAAATCCCCAATATACTTTATTTTCTAGGCATAAAATAATTTTGTTGAGAACAAAAATAATATATTTTGCCAGAAAACATTTCATGAAAAGGTTGTTCTTTTGGCTAATTATTATCTCAACCAACCAACCAACCAACCAACCAACCAACCAACCAACCAACCAACCAACCAACCAACCAACCAACCAACCAACCAAACAACCAAGTGACCTACTCATTTCTTGCTTATAAGAAAAAATGGAGAAACTCACACTTTTCTTGTCAGAAAAGCCACATTATCTTCCGCACTTTTATCAGAATTATGTTTCAAGGGTCCGTTATAAATCTTTTCAAAGTTGAAGGTCATGTGAAATACAGCTTAAAATTACGCTTAAAATCCTATTAAGCAAAATATTAAATAATTGAGTTACCTCATAACTGCCCCGTAGTTCAGGTGCATCCAAATCTACTGAATATTAAAGTAAATAAAAAAATTAAACAATGTGTCCATATATGAGTTTAAAAACTAAAAACAGTTGCAAAACATTTTCTACAAAATAGAGAGAAGCGTTTAGAATTGCTTGGATTAACAAAAAGTATTCGCAATGATATGTCAACATTTTGGAAAAAAAACTTTTAAAATAAATTATTAGAAAAACGTTTGGTATTATAAATTTGAAAAACCAATACAGATTTTTTATACAAAAATTGGCATTTTTCTTTAAAACTTGGAGGCATTCTAATATATAATTTGTCATTAATCTCCAAAAGTTAAATTTGAGGATAAAAAAAATATTTTGTTAAATATTAAAGATGCATGGTCTTAGTCAGTTATTGTGTTATTAAAACAAAATATAAGGAAATGTTAATATACTTTATTATTAATTATATTCAATAAACAAACAAAACAAGATTTTTTAAACGTTGGCAAAGCTAAAGACATGAAAATGTAATTTATGGTTTTTCTTCTGAAATGATCAAGTAATTCCCTACCTAAAGAATCGTTTATATATTTTTCATTTGAGTTTGAGACAGTTACGGCTTGGGGTAGTGCACTAGAAGCTCTATACTCTAAAGAACCAACTGTTGATAAATTGGCACGTAAAGATTTTCTCGGTTGCACAACAATCGATTTTGCCGGCTTTTGAATTGTTGCTTTAGATTTAGGGATTTTTCGGAGCCTTTGATCTGGAACCAGTTTGTACTTTTTCTTATGCGGTGATTCAGCTGGAGACTGTTTTACAGGATTTGATATTTCTACAACTTTTTTCTGGTTGAGAGCAGCTTCAAGCTGATCTTTCAAGGTCGCGATGATCTCATCCTTCTCCTGTATTGTAGAGTTGATGATAGCTTGGAGTTTAGAGATTTCTTCATCCTTTTCCCTGGATCCATCCTTGTTCAAACCAGGTTACTAGAATACTTTAAGGGTATTCATATTTCCAGAACTCCATAACTTTTTTATTTTTAGTAGGGGGGAAATATTTTCAGAAGGGGAGGGGGAAATATTTTAAGAAGTGTGGAGGGGAATGATTTTAAAAAAAATATACCCCCTAGTAAATGTTTTTTAGTATGTTTCCTTTTTCGAATAACAAATTTATGTTATCCTAGATGTATTAATGGTATTATATGGAGTAGATGGAGATACAAATCCAGACAATACCTAAGCACGCTTTCTTTCTTCATAGCTGTTAGCTATTAAACAAACCCAGGGCTTACTTTTTTATTACTCTTAATGTTTTTTAATCTTAAAAAAAACTTAACTTACTAAATTTAAAGTTTAAACCAAACAAATACCATTTCCGTGGTTCTGCCGAGTTTCCCATCCCAAATTTGAGGCAAACCGGTTAAGAAATTCATGAGTTAGGTTCAGAAATACAAAAAAAACACAAAAAGAGATTACTACTTTGTAGATTATAGATGTCGCATCATTTGGCACTAATGGAGGCCCTGCAATTGCACGCTTTTTCCAAAATAATTACCTTTTCTCTATATATAATATTAAGCTCTCAGATCAAATATATACGTAAATTTATATATATGTTTGCTACAGTTTTACAAACGGATGGACTGAATTTGTTTAAGGGAACCCGGCCATAGGTACCCCAGAAGTTAAAAAGGCTTTAAAAAATTGGCATTTTTTCAAATTCCACGGATAACGCCGGGCACTTTCGCTAGTAGCATTTACAACCCCAAACCAGATTCAAGATTTGACAAGGAAGAATTTCCTGAGTAATGCTTGAAGGTTTTGAATCTGCGAAACTAGATCTGATTTCCGCCTCTTGGACAAAACCTAAATAGAAAATTCATTTCAAACCATTTGTATAGGAAGATAGAACCGGATGTGCAGGATTTAGAATTTTTAGGCTCCTTGGATCCACAAAAATGTGGATCAATATTAAAATTTTGCAACATCATAACAAAAAATTCTGGGTCTGTCCTCGAGAAAGTTTTGTACATGACCTACACTTTTCAACAAACTTAGTTAAATTCATATTGTAATAATTCACTGATAGGTTAAAACAATTGCTGGGCAGAGTGCTGAGGCTAAGACAGACTAGAGGGACCGGGCGCTGCGGCCACATGTCCAATTTTTAACATGTAACATATGAACTTCATGTACAAAATTGAAAATAGCGTTCTCTATGAAATTACCGGATTCGGATATGCAAAAGCTTTGGAATTTTAGGCTCCTTGAATTCCAAAAAAATCTGTTTCCAAATTATGCAACATTTGTATACAACTCCTCTCATTTATTTGTAGCCAAGACAGTTTTAAAAAAAAACTTGCAAAGAGAAAAAGTCAAAATTATATTCCTGGAGTAAGAAAAATTTGTAAATTTCAGAAATACTAGTATAGATTCCAATTTTAAAAGAACCGCATCAAAATAAATGATCGATCCTCAGAAAATACTACTCTAGATAGGAATTTGTCCAGGAGGAGAGGGCGAAACTTTTTTCTTTCCATGTGGTAGCACCCTACGGGGCCTGATAACACACTAGAAACCAATAATTTTACTCATCCAAGGGGGGCTCAGTCCCCATATCCCCCCTCCACTTGTGAGTGCCTCCGTCTTCAATGATCAAACCTACAAGTTTGTAATTTTCCCTTAACAGTGCCGAGAGACCTATGATATTGCCAGTACGGTGGCCGGTTACCGTGGTTTAGGAAAATTTAAGAATTGCTCGCAAATCGCTCCGAAACAGTCTGACCCCTTTTTTCTTTCATGAATCGTGAAATATTTTTCTGAGAGAGGGCATTCCCCCCAATACTTGAGCGTGATTACTTAAAATACAAATGGACACATTTTTAATAATATCATCTATACTATATAATTCTTCATGTTTTAGTATTTACCGTTTTCTTTGTGTCCTTTGAAACAGTGGATGGACTGGTTTCCCTTTTTTCTCTCATGCTGATATTAACACGTAAATAATGAATTCTAATTAATCGGAATCCAACAACATTGAAAGAAGAATTCGTTGTTTATTTACTTTAAAGTTTAAAATAAATTTGTATAATCAGCTGTTAATTCACAGCGAGTGTACGAATAAATATTTGGGCCCTGGAGTTGCCTTGTTTAAATATCCTTAAAATTGAAGGAATCTTAGAATAAAACTCCTATTTAGAGTATAAAAGAACTGAGATTTTTTTGAGTTAGAATTAGTTATATGTTTTTTATGATTTAGGGAGTTTTTAGGGTCTCTTTAACTACAGGGTGAAGAGAGAAAAAAATGTCGATCTACAGGGTGTCCCACAAGGCGCGGATCCAGGGGAGCCAAGGGGTCAAGATTATCTTTTAACCCCCCTTTTTCTGGAGACTATAACAAAAAAGTTGTCTGTGACGAGGGAGAGATGATTTTTATAAATCATTTTTTGTCAATTATATGTTAAAGTTTTTGTTTTAAGGATTGATTCATGTCAGAAAAATAATCTCAAGAAAGTGAAGAGGGTCAAGTCTTCCCATAAATAAACAATGGTGTACACAGAAATAAATCTAGGGGGGGCAAGATTTGCGCGAAGCGCAAAATTTTTTTTTGCCCCCCCCTAGGAGCTCCTAGGGGGGGGCAAAATTCGAACTGTAAAGTCATAACACTTGGCTTCTTGGATATCAGGCATAAGTATAAGATACTTAAAAGGCACACATACAGTCCAAATAATTACCTTCTAAGCACTACTTTATCTCTCCTTCAAACAAAACTAGCAGAAAAAAACCTCATGCCCCCCCTGACTACGCCTCTGTTTCGAGCTAAATTACCAACTATAAAAGATTATTCGTCATACAATTGTTAATTTGTAAAACATTTCCTAAAAGCCGGTCTAAGCCGGCATTTCGAGAAACTTCAGTTTTCAAATTAAATCCAGAGCACTGACAAAACACCAAACATATCCCAACAAATTAACAAAACCTTCAAATTAGAACATATCAATACAGAACAGCTATTCAACTACTAAACATATCAAAACAAAACATATCAAAATACATAACATATCAAAATATAAAAAGATATCAAAAACAAAACATATCAAATCAAAACGTATCATACTTTACTGCAGATTTTACTTTTGTACATGACCACTTTTCAACAATTTTCAATTAAATTAGTATTTATTAAGGGTTAGGTTAGGTTAAGACACTTTCTGGGCCGAGCGCTGCGGCCACGGGTTAGGTTAAGTTTTGACACTTTCTTTTATTTAGGGTTAGGTTAGGCTAAGACACTTTCTGGGCCGAGCGCTTTGGCTAGGACAGGCTAGGGGGCCGAGCGCTGCGGCCACGGGTTAGATTAAGTTATGACACTTTCTGGGCCGAGCGCTGCGGTTAGGATTCAATCTCGATCTACAAATGTCATCCCCCCTTAATCATGCTTTTAATTAAGCGCGGCAGTGAAGTCTTCCCCACCTCGCACACTCGAAGGTTGGAGTTCAGCGTCTGCCAATTATTTTTACTTTTAAATGAAAAACTAACATTTCATAAAATATATGAGTTGAAAAAATATTTAGACTAACTTTTTCTCATAAATGTTCTAATTTGTAAATAAAAATCTGGTAATTTCAATTTTGCATAAGGTAATAATTACCTATTTAAAGAATAAGTTGGCAGGTTTTGAACTTTTGATTGCATGGTTTTTTTAAATGAATTGCATTAACAATGCACATGCTTCAAGTGTTTGATATGTTTTATGTAAGGATTTTTATGATTTTTTTGCTGTGATTATCTAATAAATTTAGGGTTTGATATATTTCGTATTTTGTTTGTTTTGTTTTTGATATGTTTTGTTTTTGATATGTTTTGTATTTGATATGTTTTGTATTTGATATGTTTTGTATTTATTTACTTTTTTATCAATCGACAATGTCACAATTTGTCCATTTTATGATTATTTCTCAAATTTTTTCTTGTACCTTAATCTTATTTTAAATATATTTTTCGCGGGGTTTCATTTAAATTGATTGGTAATTATGGTCAGATGACTACTAGTCAGCCTTCAGGTAGATTAATATAGATTTTAAACTTCTATTTTTATCTTAATACCGGTTTTTTAGGGGGGTGCACAAAAAAATGCACCCACTTTGGCTAAACCTCCACTACGCGCCTGTATATAGAAGACTGATAATCACGCAACCTCTTGCATGTTTTAAGTAGGCTCTAAAATTGCAATAAGAAAGTAATTTATCATTGTAAAAGTTCACAAGGTTGTAAAAGTGCTTCGCGACCACCTTTCTTCATAGAGCTGATTAATGTAATTTTTTCAATTTACTGTTTTTGATTTTTCCTCCTCATAATGTTCATAATGTTCATAATGTTCATAATGTTCATAATGTTCATAATGTTCATAATGTTCATAATGTTTACAAACGATATGAATCAAACAATTACACATCAATTATTTTAAATTTCCAGATTTAAGGTAAATTATCTGAATTGCAAGAAAATTATAATTCTTTTAAAATTTCTTTTTAGAGACCTTACCGGCCAAAAAGACAGCATTTTAAGTTAGGGGGGCAATGATGCAAGTGTTTCGGCAAAAATTTGCACCAATTATTTCAACCGTTTTTAAAATGCAAAATTATATTTATAAAAGGAAGAAGATATGGATATACAGGGTGAGTAAAAAATAATTATCGATGTTTTGGACAACATTTTCCAAATATTTGATTTTTTCGTATTTTAGGCATAACAAAAAATGAAATGTGATAAAAACAAAATCAAAAATATTTTTGGAAACATTGGATAAAAAAATCCGTGAAGCCAATTCTTTCTGAAAAAATTTTTTTATTTTTTTGGCAAATGTTCATTCTATTGTTTTCCAAATTTCATAAAAATTCATCAAAAATTTAATGAGATATAACAAAAAATGTTTCTAGGACAATTATTTTCATCTTTGAAGTATTAAGGTTATTTTAATAAAATTTACTGCAGATTTCCACTCAAACATTTTTGCGGATTTTTTTTATATCGAATCTCATTCAATTCTCAAATATAACAATTTTTAATGATTTTTTATGAAATTTTGAAATGCAGAAGAGTAAACGTTTTCCCAACAATTTTTCAAAAAAAAGATTTATTCAAAAAAGATTTGGTTTCGCGGAATTTTATTTCAATGTTCCAAAAATATTTTTGAATTTTTTTATCACATTTTCCTTTTTTCATGTCGTAAATCCGAACGAAACAAAAATTTTGAAAATATTGTCCAAAACATCCGTGTATTTTTTANCATGACCTATAATTTATGTTATTTTTTAGGAAATAAAGATTTTGTTATCGAATTTCTGAGACGGGGTTACTCTGTTGTGTGTATTTGTGCGGCCTATCGGGAAAGAATTGTCCGGGGAAAATAAACATCCCCCACCAGAATCCTAACTAACTGGCCTATTATCCTGATTTGTCTAGCGTGTTGCTGTTTTCCGTCAACAATAGCTTAGTTAAAGTCTTCAACTAAAGGAAAAGAGGATCACTATGAGACGTGGCTTTTGAGTTATCAATTAATCTAAAATAGGAATTTTTTTCATTTCCGAACTTTTGTTTTTTCCCCAGGCTGAAATTCCATATTCTATAAATGATCGAAATAAAGAGATGTAAATGGTTAGTTTAATATTACTAGGAAGAATATTTTTTACATTCGACAAAGCAAAAAATGCACTGGATGCTTTGTTTTTAACCGCCTTAAGATGATGGTTCCAGTTAAAAATTTCGTCTAGAACTTTTAATAAATTTTACTTTCTTCAAACATAAAATTTAACTCTTTTGTGTTTTGGAAATTTGAAATTATTAGGTTATGAACTGAAGCGATGCATAAAGAAAATTATCACAAATTTTTCTTCGTATATTCATAAATTCAGTAAAAATAACTCTTTAAAAGTTTCTTGTATAGAGTACATTAAAAAAGACCATTATGAAAAATGAATATAGTACAGGGTGTCCCAAAAAACCCTCTTTACTAGGTATGAGAGCTTTTACCCCCAGTTCGATTTTTCCAGTTTAGAACAGATCATATACTTCGCAACATTTTGATCAATAGACACCAACTATAAGGTTTGTAGAACCATATTATTAATGAAGTAAAAAAGTTTGAAGTCTGCCCTTTTGGCTTGTTTGATATTATTGATATCAAGATTAGATGAAAAGTAAAAAAAAATCTTATTTTTGCTTTCACATCTATGTTTTGAAATGTTATCTATATAACAAAACTCTTCGCTGTTATATAATATATTTATTTATATATTTGTTATAGCAGTATCCAGCCAAACGACTTTACCGATTTGGCTGAATTTTTTTGAGGGAACTATGACCTCGGGTGTATTTTGAGGGAACTATGGATACCTCGGGGGTATTTTGAGGGAACTATGGATACCTCGGGGGTATTTTGAGGGAACTATGGATACCTCGGGGGTGACATATGTAGAATAACTATGACTATGAATAATAATATAAACCTGGGCAGCGCCGGGCACTCCAGCTAATATAGAGTATAACAGAAAACAAAAATATAAACAGGTCTAAAAAATTTATTTAGAACATTTTTTCTGGTCTTGCTGGTGTTATTATTATTATTATTTATTAAAAATGTCCTTCGTTGTTTACGATGAATTTAGTTACAAAGATATAGGGATTAGAAAAACAGAGTTTGTGTCAAAGACTTAGTTCCTTTCTTTGGTTAGTAGTTCAACGTGCATGGTCAGCTATCTCTCTCTATTTCTCTCACTATCTATCTCTCTATCTTTAAATATGAATAGTAGTTAAAATATTATTTCCTATTAACTAAATAGTTCCTTTAGAATTCAGAAACCATTCATCTTTACAATCTTTAAACTCACAGCAGGGTACATATAGAAACTATGGGTTCATCTACCCCCCACCCCTTGAATTTCATTTGCCCCCCCCCCCTTTCATATTCGGTCCAATATAATCTGGTTTAAGACCACACAACAATAATTACTAATCAAATAGAACACTGATTTATTTACCCGTTTTGTATATTATGTGAGTATCTTGTATACCTAACATCTAACAAAAGTTCATTATAGTTTGAAATTACTGTAAAAAATATACACTGTAAAAATCAATAAATTACTGTAAAATTAAATGTTTATTGTAAACTGTAAAAATGTACATTGTACACTGTAAAAATGTACATTGTGCACTGTAAAAATGTACACTGTACACTGCAAAAATGTACACTTTACTGTAAAAATGTACAGTTGAATTGTATCTAGGTCACGTGTTTGTAAAATATCGATTAGTCGGTCAAACACCTTTTCTATCAAGGGTTAAAAGTATTTTGCTGGCAAACCGTCAACTTTCAATAGAGCTATGATAGAAGAATTGAATAGGAAAAAAGAACGGAATAGAATGAAATAAGAAATATATTTTATGATAGAACAGTGAACACCCATGACCCCAAGAACGGTTTGTGGCCGGTCAAAATTGAATAAAGCATCGGTTAAAAAAATAATTTTTTGAATTTTAAGATCATAAAATAGAACAGAATGGAATGAATGGAATGAAATAGAATAGAATAGAATAGCATAGAATATTTAGGCAGACTATTAGTCTACTAGATGCATTTATTTTGTTTTTAAAGTTTTGAGTTTGCCACACAGCTTGTGGTGCAATCAATTAAATAAGCCAATTAAAGACCTCATTCAAGGCAGGAGACTAAATATAAAGCTGGGATATTTGAAGAGTTTCAAGTCGTCTTTACAATCTTATCCTGTGTGGGTAAACCTGTATATGAAATATGTCGTTTTAACTGTTATGTTTTGTATTATCTTAAAGAATTCTTCACTGAAAACTTTAAAAAACATGTTTTTTCAGAGAAGTGTGTTTAGCTGACATGGATTTGTAGAAAATGTCCTACTCCAATAAATGCTTTTAGATCAGTACCAATCCAGGTACAACTAAATCTCTAACTCCAGGTTCTCCAATCACGGGCAGCCGTAGTACATTTGAATTTCCGAGGCGGGTCAACCTTTCCGTTCCCAGTTCGTACTGTACCTAACTCTATTGACAGGACTAGCCGGTGCAGCAAGGTTGACACAGTCAGACTTTATGCTTCATATAGGTTGAATTTACTTTTACTGAAGGGGCAGACTCTATCTGCATTCTCAGGTATCTGTCTTACAAGATACAACTCAAAATCTAGAACTCAAGGTTCATCACATATACCATTGTCAATATCAATCCAGATATGACTCAGTCTGTATTCTCAGGTATCTGTCTTACAGGATACAACTCAATCTAGAACTCAAGGTTCCACATGAATACCATTGTCAATATCAATCCAAATATGACTCAGTCTGTTTTCTCAGGTATTTGTCTTACAAGATACAACTCAATCTAGAACTCAAGGTTCCACATGAATATCATTGTCAATATCAATCCAGATACAACTCAGTCTGTATTCTCAGGTATCTCTCTTACAAGATACAACTCAATCTAGAATTCAAGGTTCCACATGAATATCATTGTCAATATCAATCCAAATACGACTCAGTCTGTATTCTCAGGTATCTGTCTTACAGGATACAACTCATCTAGAACTCAAGGTTCAACATGAATACCATTGTCAATATCAATTCGGATACGACTAGGTCTGTATTCTCAGGTATTTGTCTTACAAGATACAACTCATTTTAATTCCCAATCTATATCTATCTTTCAAGAAAGTGATTCAGGACACCTCTTGTTTGCTAATCAAGAAACAATTACTCTCACACCATAATCCAAGCAGAGTATTATTCCAACTGACATTTATTTTGAATTCTATGATACAGGTAATGAACGTAATTACAAGCTTAACGTCGTTATCTATAATCTCAGTTAGTTTAATCTCAATACAATATTTACGTAGTTCTAGTATGGTTTAATCGCAATACAGGTGTGACATAGTTAGTTAGGTTACAATGTACAGCGTAATTTATCTAGGTGTGTTCAGGTTCATAAATACGAGGATTGCCACGAAATTTATAACAGATTACCTTTATGCGCAAAATGTTTTCAAATATATTCTCCGTTTTCCCCGTATTCCCTGTATTCCCTGTATTCCCTGTGTTCCCTGTATTCCCTGTATTCCTTGGATTCCTTGTATTCCCTGTGTTCCCTGTATTCCCTGTAGTCACTGTATTCCCTGTATTCCCTGTATTCCCTGTAGTCACTGTATTCCCTGTATTCCCTGTATTCCCTGTATTCCCTGTATTCCCTGTATTCCCAGTATACCCTGGATTCCCTGGATTCCCTGTATTCCCTGTATTCACTGTACTCCCTGCATTCCCTGTATTCCCTGTATTCCCTGCATTCCCTGTATTCCCTGGATTCCATGGATTCCCTGTATTCCCTGTATTCCCTAGATTTAGTAAATTTTTGTTTTTGACTTTTTCCGTTCTAAATGTTTTTGAAGATGTGTAGATATTAGGTATCTGAAGCTAATCAAGCATACCCAAAATCTGTACTTTCTAATTTCCTCTTGCTTTCTAACTGTTAACATTGCTAGCTAGCTAGCTGTTTATCTGTCTAGCTTTCCATCTTTTTATTTACTAGCTGTCCAGCTGTCTAACTGCGTAGCTAGCTACCTTAATGTCTATGTTGTGTAGATATTAGTTAGCAAGCAATCTAATTTTGTGTATATCGATTTTCAATGTAAATCTACTTTTTGTCAAACTTTCTATATGTTTGTTTAGCTGTCCATCTGTCAATCTTTATAGCTGGCACATCATCATCTGTCAATCTTTTCAGTTGTGTGTCTATTGAGTTGTTTAGAGATATGGACAGATTGACATTTATTTATCGAGATATCTAATACATATCTAAAATAAAACGAAATCTGAAATATAAAGGTCTTTAAAATTTAAAGATCTCTAAAATATAAAGATATCTAAAATATAAAGATCTCTAAAATATAAAGATCTCTAAAATATAAAGATCTCTAAAGTATAAACTCCTCTTCCCCATTCTCCTCCTCCCCCTCCTCTTCTTCCTTCTACTCTTCCTCCTCCTCCTGAATATTCCTAATATCATCAAATGTATCAAAGAACCGCTCATAATACATACAAGTCGTGACACTCCTCACGATTGATGGAACACCCCTTTTTAGGTACTTCTTGAACTCTTTGAACTTCTTGAACTTCTTGAACTTCTTGAACTTCTGAAACTCCTTGAACTCCTTAAACTCCTTGAACTCTTTTTACTCCTTGAACTTTTTGAACTTCTTAAACTCCTTGAACTTCTTGAACTCCTTGAACTCCTTGAACTCCTTGAACTCCTTGAACTCCTTGAAATTCGTGAACTCCTTGAAATTCGTGAACTCCTTGAACTTCTTGAACTTCTTGAACTTCTTTAACTCCTTGAACTTCTTGAACTCCTTGAACTCCTTGAACTCCTTGAACTTCTTGAACTTCTTGAACTTCTTGAACTTCTTGAACTTCTTGAACTCCTTGAACTCCTAGAGCTTCTTGAACTTCTTGAACTTCTTGAACTTCTTGAACTCCTTGACCTTCTTGAACTTCTTGAACTCCTTGAACTCCTAGAGCTTCTTGAACTTCTTGAACTACTTGAACTTCTTGAACTTCTTGAACTCCTTGAACTTCTTGAACTCCTTGAACTTCTTGAACTTCTTGAACTCCTTGAACTCCTAGAGCTCCTTGAACTTCTTGAACTCCTTAAACTCCTTGAACTCTTAAACCTCCTTGAACTCCTTGAACTCCTAGAACTCCTTGAATTCCTTGAACTCCTTGAAAACTTCTTGAACTCCTTGAAATCCTTGAAGTCCTTGAACTCCTAGAACTCCTTGGACTTATTATTTAATTCCTTGAACTCCTTGAACTCTTTGAAAACTCCTTGAACTCCTTGAAGTCCTTGAACTCCTTGAAGTCCTTGAACTCCTTGAACTCCTTGACCCAAAGTTTGAATTGTCTGCTTTTGACATTTAATTTTGCGCGCAAAATTGACTTGCTATTTAAATTCTTGTGCGGCAAAAAGGGAGAAAACTTGCTGCGTGCAAATGTAAATAGTTGTAAAATGGTTATAATTACCGAGCTATTGCCGGCCCTTGGTGAAAAACTGAACCAATAAACCAAATTGTTTTCATTCACAGTCTTATGCATCAATTCAGTCTAAAGTATAGTACAATCTTAGGTACAGGGTTACCCACAAAAGGACGAAACACCAGAGGCGACTGTACAGATTTTATAAACACTTTTTTCTGCCATTTTAAACGTTTTACTCTCTATGCAAAATTATTTAGTAAATTAAATTAAATTCTAAATTCAAGTCACAAGACTTTATTTAACCTCTAGTCTCCAGATCGTTATATTTAAAGAGTTTTCGGTCGCCCTTAAATGGAGTGACTGGCTATGTAAGGTAGTTGAACAGAGTATCCAGTGTTGTGAAAGCTTCTTTCGGATTCATTTGAGACATATTAAACTTTTTAAAGATCTTAAAAGTCGTCTTTGATATTTGAATTTATTTGTGACATTTAGTCTTCTATCATACTTTAACATGTATGATTCTTGAAACAATCACATTATTCTTCTAGCCCTGGCATTTCCAAAAAGTGGTCTGCGTTTTTTGTGCTTTCAATATTACCGGAGATATAAAGAGTTTAGTTCAGATTTCAATTTTGTTAAATAAAAGCAAAATTGTCGAAATCTGAACGAAATTCTTCATATCTCGGGCAATACTTAAAGCACAAAAAATGCAGACCACATTTTGGAAATGGCAGGACCAGGGGAATTTTGTGATTATTATCTCTAGAAATTTACTTTTAAAATTAGGTTGACAAATAAATGCAGCAAATTATATCAAAAATCAAGACGATATTCAAGTCGTCATGCAGACTGTCATGTTTCGTGGGACACCCTGTATGTCTCAAATGAATCCGAAAGAAGTTGTCCACAACACTGCATACTAAGTTCAGCTACCTTACATAGCCAGTCACTCCCTTTAAAGTTTCATGCTTTGTGGGTAGTAAAGCATATATATACAAATTGTACGTACAATGTGGGCATAAAAATATATCATGAATTTGTACCATCCATCATAGACTTTAATCTGAATAGTCATATTAAAAAATACCTAAAAGTACTTTTACATAGTATACATTCTGCAATAAAGGTTTTATTTTAAAGGTTATTGTTGTGATTCACATAGGAATTGCAAAAAAAGTGGAAATGTCACTAAAAGTTTTGAAAAATATTCACGATGGTTGACGACTTGACAAACTTGACAACAATTTGTGTATAAGCATAATAGGCATTTAAGACGCTTCGCGCCCTATTTCCTATTAATAACTTTTAGCTTTCAAATTTTGATTGTGAAAGTCGCCATTTTTATTCGTTCTCAAATTTTAGCGGAATTTCTGTTTAAACTGGTGTATTATCCGGGTTAAAGAAATTGAGTAGATATTTGACACAATATTTCCTATGCCTTCGCAACCTGAGCCCGCGATTTAAAAAATTTGGGAAAATACGGCTTGGAAGTTGGGTCTAAGCTGTCGATGGGCCTTAATTACGGCTTGAGCTTTCGGCTTCAAGCTGCATCTTAATTCCACAGAGTTGAGTTCAAAAAACCGGTTTAATATTCTACTTGGATGGATTTTCATGGTAGGAATTGGCGCATTCTGGGTTTTTATGAAAACAAGACTCACCATTGAGCCTTTCTCCACTAAAATAACCAAGGTCGGTTTTATTTTCATTGGGCCTAACTCCTAGTAAGTAGAGCCGAAGATCTTGCAGCTGTCAATCACGTGACACAAGCTGTCGTCAGAGTTGGGTTGAAGATTGGGTCTTAAAGTCGGGTTTAAGGAATTACAACTCGAGCCGAAGTTTTAAAATGGTGGGCTCTGGTGTTTAAACCTTTGATAAATCAAATCTAGATTATTAGATGTAATAGAATTAATAATTGTGGACTTGTTAGTCGAATATAATCGAAGGTCGTTCGAACTTAAAGGGAGTGTTCGCGAAAAATGAAAGGGGGTATAGGCTTAATGCGATAAAAAAGCGCTTTTGATCGCTGAAAATCTTACTTCTATCTGTTGCGTCTATAAGGAGAAAATTGTTAAAGACGTCTCATACCGAATAACATGGCGTCCATACAAATTGAGAAAATTGCAACATAGGACTTAGACCGTAAAAAAGTCAATTAATTTCAAACAAATCGTTCAGATATTACAACCTGTAGTCATCGATTATCTTTCGCCACATTTTTATATATTTGATATTTCATACTAGTTTTGATTTTGTTTTTTAAATTAATATTTAGCTTACAACTTGTTTTCGAACATTCCTGGAAAATATGAAAATGTCGTCTTCATTACCAAAAATCCTCGAAACAGGAATAAATTTTTTTATAAGTAACTCTCAGATCATAACAATTAAAACATATTATGAAAAATCAACTATATATAAATGTGGCGAAAGATAATCGATGACTATAGGTTGTAATAACTGAATGATTTGTTTGAAAATTAAATTGATTTTTTCACGGTCTAAGTCGTATGTTGCAATTTTCTCAATTTGTATGGTCGCCATGCTATTCGGTATGAGACGTCTTTAACAATTTTCTCCTTATAGACGCAACAGCTAGAAGTAAGATTAGATTTTTTATAGCATTAAGCCTATTCCCCCTTTCATTTTTCGCGAACACTCCCTTTAAATGTACAGTCTCTTTGGGAATTCTTTTTATTCAACGGCCGCGGCGGCGGCACATAAGACAATGTTTAATCTGTAAAAATCTTAATGAATTGTTAAATATTGGAACCTTGGGTTGGTTGTTTGGTTGGAGATAGAATTAGAGCAATAAAAAACCCAATATCTGTATATATATATATACGCTATCTGCCGTATCTACACACACTAGCCTGCACTAAAACCTACCTTGATTACCCGTCTACCATCCAAGCAATGATTTGTTACTGCCCCCCCCCCCCCCCATCCCTTCTCTACTCCTACAGTAACCATTGATTGTCCTTTTCATTCCTTTTTTGCCCGTGTTTTCCCTTCTATTTTGTGTAATTTTTTTCCCATCAGATGCCCTTTCCTTTCCCTTGGTCAATTTTTTGTTTTCTTTGCCCCGTTGATGCTACAATAGCAATGTTTCGGCTTTCCCTCTTTTTTTTGCCAGTTCTTTCGCCCTTCTTTCATTTTTATTATGATTTTCCCCTCCATACTCCACAGCTGATTTTTTTTGGCAGTCTTTTAGTTTTCCGTTTCCGTTCTTTCCCTTTTTCTACTCTTCTCTTTAGTACTTTTATGATTCTCTGTTGTGAAAGTTGAGCTCTGTATTTTTATGAGTCCCAAATTAGTTATTTTAGCAGGATATTAAGAAAATCGATTCCGATTCAGGGCGAGAAAATTATTAATTGCTCTGCACTTTATGAAGACGAAAAGCCCCCACCCTCTCTACAAAAAAAGAAGAAGAAATCTTTACAACAAAAAAGTTCATGTTTCGTTTTTCTGTAATTTCACTGCCTATAACAGCAAGATTACTTTTTTAACACTTTCCTGTTTTTCCGTATTCTTGGAATCTCAAAAATCGTTCAATGATCGGCAAAAACGACCTCTCCCGACCGGATGCCACATATGACATCTCCTGCAGTTACGGTTACGGTATGGTAACAAGTAAAAGATTATGAATGCCTGGATTTTTACAAACAAAAATATGAATTTTAATGTTTTCAAAACTAAATTTTAAAACATAAAAAAGAAACACTTTAGCTTAAAGACTCTCTCTATATTCATTATTCATGTTTGCAAGCTCAAACTGTTATTGCCTGACAAAATGCCTTATATAAGAAAATTAAAGCATACTAAAATAAGTTCACTTTTAGAAATTACTACAGATAAATTTGGTTTGTTTGTATCTCATGAACGTCAGCTGAACCGATCAGGCTTACTTTTTTTGTGGCAACTCTTATATTCTGGTAGGATGAATAAGCAAATTATTAAATGGATGAATGGGCAAGTTAATACAGGATGAATGCAATGATTGAAGCAAAGTGTATGAATAGTCAAGTTGATGCAGGATGAATGTGAATGATTAAAGTAAAGTGGA